TTTTTACTGTAACATCCTGGGTGCTGCTTTTTATTTTGTTATCTTGTAAGTCATTTGAGATAAGTAGACAACAAATGTAAAATATTAATCCTTTTTCATTGTTGTGCTGCCCAGTGGTACAGTATGTTTCAATCGAAGATACTAGGGAAGTGCACGGACATCTCGTTTTTTTTAGTATAGAAATGTTAAAAAATCTTCCTGCCAGATATTTTAGGGTTCACAAACATAACACATAAATAGAACATAGCTATGCCTCTTAATATCCATAAATGTTAGTGATTTATTTTTGCTGCATGAGTCAATAACAAACCAGTCTGGGTATTTAATCCCCTAGCAGTTTCAATTGATTCTCCGGAAAATGTACCATATATCACAATGTATAATGTTGCATATACCTTAATAGAGGATTGTATCGATATTACCAACTCTCAGTACACAGGCCAGTAATGAACACCATGGTGGAAGTAGCAGCATCGAGCGAAGACCTTAGCTCTTGTCCATCACAGCTGTGGTTTCTAGTTGGAGGAATAGGAACCGGCAGAGCTACAACCTTCTTCACTAATCAATCAACTCAATGTCAAACCCAAAGCACACCTGACTAATTTGGTTCCATCCAGCTTACAGTGACATAAAACACAGCATAATAATGTAATTAAAACACGCTTTTTTCATGACATACAATGAGCTCAACCAATTGCCAGCCATTTCCATTCAGAAGTGGTGGTTGAGGGCTGGAACCACCATCATCTCTATGGAAACCAGTAGGACTTCAATGGAGCGACCTTTCTCCAACTAGGAGCCTTGGCAACTCACAGTCGTCTCTGACAACAAGCAGCTCTGTGGATGATGATGACACAAAGTTGTGATTTTAAAGTGCCACAGTGTGTGCTGCCATGTACTTGTTAGTATGTGGCATGCAGAAACACACACACACACACACACTGCTGGCATCAGTCTGGGGCAGGAACGGGATAGGATGGTACTGATGAAGCATACACTGTCCTCCCTCATGTCATGTACCGGAGGACACACACACAGTCTGAGCTGTGTTCTTTTGAAGCCGACTGGCTGCAGATAAACACTACTTAGAATGCAGCAGGATATGACCAGAGGGCAAGGAGATAAGTCAAGAAGAAAAAAAAAAACAGGCTTTGTCACATTTGAATGTGTGTCTTTGAGAAACAGAGAGGGGATGCCTCATTTTAGAGAGCTGTGCGCGAGTGACTAAGGGAGTGAGTGGAATAGTTACACAGTACATTAGGCATGTTACCTAACGTTACCTTCCTACATGGCCTCTTCCTCCTGCTCATCCTTCCCTTGCATTTGAAACACTAGATAGCAAAGGGGAGAAGACAGGAAAAAGAGGAAAGGGAAAAAGCGGCTTCCCCACAGACAGACAGGTGTCGCATAGTGCCATCTTTTGCCAATACCACTCGCCTTGCTGAGGGCACAACAAAACAGAGGGCTTTTCCTAAGTGTCTTTGATCCTCAGTCAGGTCATACAAGGGCACTGACCAAACCTCAATACCTCAATCTATTTCACCCAAGTTTGCACATACGCAAACATTGCACTTTCGGAGGGGAATTCAACTGTGACTATTGCCCACAGGAAAAGATTGTTAATAAAATAACAATGCAAGTATGATACATTGTTGGTAAACAGGTACAGCACTGAAGACAGAAAGCAGGGCTGAGTGACAATGAGTCAACTACGTGACGAACAATACATCACATGCAAATATTCATCGTATTGATGGAGCCTATTATGACAGAATAAGGCTACGAAATGTACTGGTGACTGCTTAATGTAGACTAGACGAGACAAGATCACAGGGTATTTTATTTCATACTATGTGGAAATAAATCCTCAGTTTTAGCACGCAATCAGATTAATTCAGGAATCTTTAAATAAAACTTCAGGTTCTGGCGATATCAAATGTTATGCTTAGACATTCAACAAATGAATCTCAAATGATTAGTCAGTAGTAAAATATGTTTATTTCTGCCCTGCAGCCGAGTATTGCTACAAAAATCTGCAACAATAGACCTGTGCTTGTGTCGCACACTGAATATTAGCACTGAGCAAAGTTTTATCACACATGACTAATAACCATTTCTGTTATATCACATCCAGAGTATTGATCAAACATTTAATTGAGAAACCAATAAAGTGTGCAGAGAGAAACAGAATCCATTCAATAGCCAATGGTGGCATAGAATGGATGCAAACGAGCCATCTGTAATGGAATGTGGCCAGGATGTGAAATATCATTTCAAGTAAAGTGCATTGAAACAAAAGGCCACTACAGACCTGATAAATAGCCTAACAAATTGTGGTGAAGGGCGAACAGTTCTATATCTTTAGTCAACTGGAAAATAATGCTTCTAAACATATGCTTTCAACAAGCTTTATGTGATACCTAATACACAACATGTGTACACAATGAACATTCTTAAACATGCTTTCAAGGACATTTTATCATGACTTCGAGTGGTGGACATGAACAACACTGGCTTTGATCAATTTGCATCAAAGAATGGGCACAGACTTGAATACAAATAGTGTTGATGTGTACTATGCAAGCCACATTTGAAACACATGTTTTACAGTTTATTTAGTTCATAGTGTAACCAAGAAAACTTCAAGTGTTTGTCTTTGTATGAGTGTATCAATCAAAATGTTTTGACTTCTATCTCACTCTCTGGCCTTTGTCTGGAAGAGATTAACTTTCACTATTACAGCATCCACATGCAGCTTACTCGCCAACCACCATCGAAAGTGTGTGTTGTGTGTTAACAAACATATACATAAATTAGCAAATAATATAAATAATCATGTCCACTGCTGTGTGACACTGCAGGATATCATCAGCCCTATCTAACGATGGAGAGAGTTGTTAGGCTACCTTTGACTTGTCAGCATTTCTCATTGGATCATTATAAAACCTAGGCCATACAAATATCTGATGACTGATCATCATATCGATATTCTTCATGGTATCCACAGGCATCTAAAATTACACAATCCTCCAATATTCATGAGCAACTGGCGTGCTGGTTGGTGAAAAACCATAATCTGACTGTGATCCCCATTAATAGTCTACAAACAAGGACTCTCTTTCATTCTTTCTGTACATGTTCCACTGTCATTTTGTCCTCTGCCCATCTCTCACACTCAGTCAGACACAGACAGACACACACACACATCCAGGCAAGCATAAACAGGCTTACACATAAGAAAAGCGTCATAAACAGCTCATCAATCTTTCACCCTATAACACAGCTACTGTCTTTGTATAGCTTTAATGACAAACAGAAAACACTGCTCACACCTACAAGTCTGTAAATTACATTACAGTCATATCAACACAGCTACAGTCCTTCAGATACATATCCTGCAGCATTGAAAAAAAACACTACCCTGACCCAAGGGTATTTTGGCTTCATGAAACTAACTGGAAGGTTATCTGAGATGTGGAGCAAAACACACAAATGACTGTCTGCCTGTCTGTGTGTGTGTATGTCAACAAGGGCATAGAGGTAAAGCTGCACACTTGTGGGCTTGTGACACACGTACAAATAATGTTGCAGGAGTACTTTGTAAGCTTAGGCTCAGCTACCCCTCGTTTGTTTTGTGTTTAACCAAGTATCCATTACAGGGGAATTGCATTTTGATTACAATCTTCATATCATCTTCTCATGTCACTACACTAAACATATGGGCATAAGTAGAACAGATGTGTCTGATTCTGCGGTTGTCAAATGCACTTTATTACACCATCATGCAGGCCAAGAAGACATAGATGGTATCTAAAGTGTTAAGAGACGGCATACAGGCAAATAGAGCCTTTAAACATTGAGGGACTTAATCCAAAAGGTCAACAGAAAAGATAAACACTACTTAGTTAAGCAACTTCTTCCACTTGTAAGGTCCCACATTTCCCCTATCTAGAATAAAAGTCCAAATATAATGTTAACAGTCCCTTTTAAAAGCATGGGTACAATTGTAAGTTTAATGATCAGGCTTATACAATTGTAGCACTAGACCGACTTGGGGAAAACCTCAATGTAACCCACCTACTCATTAATGATAGTGCTTTGCGTGAATATAACTTGTTGATAATAGAGTCTGCAATTGAATTCGTCAATCATCCAGTATACTGCTAACAGTCGCCCACTTTATGCAAAAGCATCTACGTACACTCAAAGTGTGTGGTGGCAGTTTTCAAACCACTAATTTTGCCATGTCAATGTTTTCTTGTCCGAAAGGCCTCATAAAATGGCATCCAGTTAGTTATTGGGATATCTTAACAACACATAAAGTGGTGCACAAACTGGTTTAATTACACCGTGAAATAACGGTTGTATTATTAAGTTGTAAGAAAAGCGAAATGATCAAAGCGAATTGTAAAACTTAAAACAGCTACAGTGTCTGCATCTGCTATATGCTTGAAACAGTTGAGTGGTACTTTTACGTTGAATTTCGTGAAGTCATAATACTTGAGAAACTACGTCTTTCAACTTTAGCAGCTCTTTACTTTAGTTATCTAGCAGGATCAAGCTAACTTTTAAACGTGTGTGTTGGCAAGCCTTAAATATATCTGCATCTAGCCAAACAGCTAATTAGCTAGTAAGCTAAGCTAGCTCCTAACGTAGAGTCGGAACATTTCTGTCTCCTCTTCTCATCTTCGTCAATACCCTTCTCTCCGTCCTCTACACATACATTAACCCCAGGCCTTTTGAGCTTTACGTAAAACACACTACTACCTAATATATGTAAAACGAGATGTATCCTATGCTAATTGCGCTTGTATCCAGTAGTTAGAAGTGATGCCCCGTGTCGGATGGACCCCCCCAACAAGCAGCGGTGTCACCAAAGCTGTGTCTCCAGAGCCTGAAGGCCCCAGCGTCATCCCGACTACATGGTCGAAAAGACCGAAAATGAAATAATGACAACGCGTATATGTTCCTAGATAAAGCTCGGACATCAATGTTCTTACCTTTGCTTTGGTAATTATGTGTGTGGCTAGTTTAACAACCGCGAAATTTCCCTTGCCGATGGTCCGCTCGATTTCGTAGTGGCCCACTCGGGCTGGGGGGGGCCTGGTGGCCGAAGTGTGGCCGGGATTGGTGATGCACCCGGGGGCCGTGCTGGTGCGACCGGAGTGGCTGATACCGGAGGGTGGCTGGGCTCGGTTCTGGGAGCCCATGCCTGCGTGGGTCGGTCGGGCAGAGTGCGTAATCCCGGCCGCAGCGGACCCAGCAGCACCTCCGCTTGACACGGCCGCCATCTTCTCGCCTCTCTGCGGGAACAACAAGCAGCCTTGCGCAGCGCGCACCACGGGCACGCCCCCGCCCTGCGTCATTTTACGTGGAACGCTCCTCCGCAGCGCCCTCTCTAGGTTGTAACCGTGGCAACGATCAGCGTAACAAATGACTTCATCCACAGCAACGTATTGTGGTTGCCTTGGCGACAAAGAAGTGCGCATTATCACTCTGGTTCCCATGATTCAGTGATTCTTTACAAACTGCTGCACTGTGTATGATGATCAGTAAGGCTTTAAAGGAGTAGCCTACAGCACTCTAACGTTGAAATGACAGATACACATAATAAGGTTCAGGAAAACAGACATCATGAATATTTCTAGAAATTAATAGTTCTTCACACGTTCAAGCAGTTTGACAGACAAATTATGGCCATTCGGTGTTCGTGAACAACCTGCTATTATGAGTCAAATCTACGTATTCCTATTTGATCAAATGCTTTTGACATCTAACACTCGTATGAACAGTTCACATCAGTATAGTGTTATTAACCCTTTGACACCAAACATACATTTTACTAGTAGCCTATATTTGCCGATTTCATAGTTAAAAATAAATGATATCACTAATATGAATATGGGTATGCCTACAGCCAAGTGTGTCAGGAGCATTTATGGTCACTTAAAAACGTGAATAGACCAGAATGTATTTTTATTTATCCTGGGCAGTGCAATATAGCAGACTCTGTTGAACCTGCAGATATGAAAGGCTTTTTCTTTGCTCACAATTAAAGGCAACAATTCTTAGTTTAATACATATTCTTTTTGATTCATACACTCTCGCTTAAACACTTCTTGGGGACCATCACATAGGCCTAACTGTTTTAGTATAGGCCTATTCATTATTTTGTCCATGCTTTCAGGTTGAATTGTCCATATGAGTGTAAACTATAGCCTATTATTAAAGTCGTCTCATGTAGCATCATTATTTTTGTTTGTGTGTAATTTATTCTACAGACATATTTGTATATACATATCGTTTTTGATAGCTTCTATACAATGTGCCAACCAGTGACACACAATTAAAGAGACGCATTGAACAAACATCTTTTGGGATTTCTGCAGTTTAAATATGAGGGGAGATTGTTTGTATTTTATTCCATTCTACAGCCTCCTGACATGGTTGTAGACAGCACCACTGCATGGTAGAAAAGAGTTCCTGCATCATGTTACCCTAAACTGGATAAGACAATATAAGAGCAGAACTGGCAGCTGCCCTGCTTCCCAGGGCCCTAAACAGAATTGTGTTCAATGTAGGTGAATAGGTTTGAGATAATTGCATAAACTGACTTGTTGATTGTGTTTAGCTGAATGACGTATCTAAAAAACAGGGCCTGCATCGCCACCATTAACAATTTCGAAGAAACATGATTTATGATTATGCAGACCCAGACACAAAAAGACTGAAACATAAATAATAGGAGTACTTGGTTGTTTATAGATTTGTAAAATAATATAAGGCTGCCATTAGGCCACCTGTTGAAGACTTTGTGGAGGCAACTGGGTGCAAACAAATCACAGGGAGGAGGATCAATGTTACCTGACAGCTCATTATGGCAAAATATGGATGAAGCCAAAAATGCAAATAATGATCAGAAGCTAGGGATTTTGCTCTCTTATACAACATCACATCCCATTTGCTAATATGTATGTTACTATGTTCCTTATCATAAAGGTTAGCAAATATGTGGTAATAACATTTTATTGATCAAAATAGTAGAACAAATGGTACAATGGCTCTTTATTTATATTATGAAAAAGGCATAAGGTGCGGAACAGTCTCTAACTGTATCCAAACTCTGCTGCAGGAGATGCCACATTTCTACTTCTACTTCATGATTATCATTTCTAATTATTTCAGATCTAATAATGTTAGCTTGTCTGGGTTTAGAACTCATAAACATATATAATAATTTCAAACGTTCATTTCAGATATGACATAGGCCTACTAAAAAAAGCTGTTCACTATATATGTAAATAATTGTATTGCATGATTAACTAATATGTTGATTTGGTATAAATTAGCTGAATTGTGTATTTAAAAGTGAGTGGAGAGCTTGTAATGTTAATTAAATTAAGATGCGAAGTATTGACAAATATATAATAATATAAAATGCATTTTGTGTAGGCCTACAGGAAAAGCTGTTCACTACGGTTGTAGATAGTTGCCTAACCTGATAGGTTGATTTGGAATAAATTGAATTATGTAGGCCTATCTGGAAACAGGGCCTAAATTAACTATTTTTAAGAAACATTTAGTATTAGGCCAACTGAAAAATCAGTTCTAGAGGACAGAGACATTACGTCATGACGTCGCACAGTTTGTTTACTGTCTGAGCGTGGAGGGGGGCGCTAATGTCTCCGATAATATCATAAACATGCAAAATCTATTCACTCTCCGTCCGAGAAATACTTTCACAATGCCGCAGCGCCGCAAACACATGCCGTGACAACCGCTGGTATTGGAAAGACTTGAACACTTTTACATTTTTCGGTCCGCGAAGCTGGAACTAAAACTTCGATCAAAACATGGAGCTGCCTTACCGACGTCTTACCCATCAGTGCTAATGTTAGCACTGCGAGCTAACAGCTGGTCAGTCTCTCAGATAAAGAGGAATTGAGAATCGTTTTCATCAATCGTGTTGTGTTGCAACCTGTTCTTGGTCGCACAGCAGAGAGCTTCGATTATTTGCAAATAGGACAAGCCGTTAATCTGTATCTAAAGGTAAACACGTAGCTTTCTCTTTAGCTTAGCAGCTGTTATTGTCTGTTTATAGTAGTGCCAAAGTAAAGCTAGCTAACTATCCTTATATTTGTTGATGAATGGGGTGGAGCGGTTAGTAGTATTGTCACGCAGGCTAGAATCACGTTTCAGTTTAGGAAGACGGTGTCAGACAAAATGGTGTTAAGGAGTTGCTGGAAGTCTCGACATAAAAACAGCTGTGGACCTGCTGGTTGGATCCGACCAGCCCTGCTCTGGTTCTGTGTGACCCAGTGTGTTTGCGGCATTGGGGCGGTGGAGGAGAGCAAAAATGTGGTCCAGAAAGATGCCGAGTTTGATGTGACATACAATGACACTGTAACAAGTCAGAACCAGACCATCTATGCTTTTAATCACACTATCTCCAGGAACAAGGTGAGTTTACATCGCCATACTGCTACATTGGTTTATAGCTTAATATGAAGCAATTGAATAATATGTTTGTTTTCTATTTCTCTGGGTGTCAGACGGAGGGAGTTCGTGTGACTGTGGACGTGTTGTCACGAGGTTCTGATAGTCCCATATTGTTTGTGGTACGACAGAAGCAAGCTGTGCTGTCGTTTCAAATCCCTCTCATTTTAAGAGGCCTGTGAGTATTTTAACTTTGCATACCCTAGTTGTGACACATCTGGAATCCTAACATCTGATGTAGACTTTGTTTTTGGTCATTCACTTAAATGTGCTAAACTCACCCTTAATGTTTTTCTCCTGAAACACTTCTGAAGTCCTAACAATCCAACAACATTTCCAGTTTATTACCTGATTACCAGCATAATGCCTTATTGGCTTCTGCTTGCCATAGCAACATCCTAGCTGAGGTTTTAGTCAATTATATTCTGTGAATTGTAGAGCAGGGCTGAGATTAGTAGTAATAATTGTGTGTTGTCCTTGTACATGGTTGTACGATGAATCAGTACAGTCCACTCTACTTCATAGACCAAATACATTTTCCAAACCATTAGGGCATACACAACTTCCTCTTTGGTAAATTGAACAACTACGCACTCACATTTGTTTCGATGTGAAAACGTCTCTATAGACAATTAGAAAAGAAAGGGAACTAATCAGCCGTAGGTTCAGATAGAGCTGTATTTTTTAATATTTTGAAACAATGCTTACACTGACAAAAATCAACTATGGAACATAATTTAAGTCTCCACCCCGATGAACAGACTTGTGTCTGTTAAACTAGGCCTTTATGTATGTTCTTGTAATTGACTGCAGACACTCAGATGATACTGAGAGCAATAGTCCAAGGTTTCTCCTAGGGAGTGTCTGGCGTCCTGTTGCTACTTTCACTAGACAGTAAACAGAGATAGAGCTCATGTACTTGTCTGTTGTCAAGAGCTGTGATTAATAACCATATAAGTGAAGGAAATCTGTAAATGCTAACAGTGCTTTTTCTTTGGATATATGTTGGAGAAGGATTTGTTTTAGATCCAGGGTCAAATGTATCCCAAGAGATGCTGCATTTGAGGAATATTGCTTATTTCGATATCATAGTTGTATGTGGACATTTGATATAATCCAAATTATTTATTTCTTTGATGGAGTAAGCAAGCACTAAGACTCACCAGTTGTCAATGTGGGGACTAAACAACACAGCCTTACATATGCTCCGGAGTTTTCTCATTGGTTATAAGGCACACAGCCTTTTTCATAACAGGTTAGAAGTTCAGCTGTTTATTAGCTATTGGCTCACAGCCCATCTGCGATGTGTCTCCCACACTCCAAGGTACATTGTGTGGTTGTGCAACACCAGAATAATCTCACTGCAGTCTTGCCTGTGCAGGTCTCATGGCCATGCATGTTTTAGCAGATGACTAAAAAACCTTGGTGTTTCACTTCCTCCTTTTAAGATCCTCCAGTGTGAAGATTTCCGAGGAGCCCAGTTTACTGTAAATGAGCCAACCTCAAAGTCATCAGTATTTATTTATTTCGTTTCATGTAGTTTCTGTTACATGTTCTTTTTAAAATATTCCCACTTCAATTTGATCTATGTTGTTTGCATTTGCAAACATATTTCTAGAGCTGGGTATTGATTTAATTGTGCTCAAAGCTAATTCAATATGCATTATTTAGTTACTGTTGGTCATCTGATTCCTAAACAACAATCCTTGGTAATGTCGTATGCTGCTATTATATTAAGTAATCTAATAAAATAATTTCCATCCTCAGTTACCAAGTACATTTTCTTGCTTTGATTTTTATAATACATTCATCCATTACTTAGTTCAAAGTACTTTTCCATGCATGTGTAGATACTTGTGAACCCTCTGGAGTCTAAGGGTATTTTCTCGATTTTTAGATGTCTCCTTAAATCATCTTTTGTGTTACATATCAAAATGTTCAGGACAATCTCTAGACTTGCCAGAAATGCATGTCACTCACCGTAGAGCACTATGTGATGAGATAATTAGCTATAAAGCTGAACATTCGACATTCGATTTTTGGAAATCTTCAAAACTCTTGTGAAAACATAGATTTACTCATGTCATCCAATTCAAACCTGTTGAATGGTAACTTGAGTTTATTTTTGTTCTATCTCTCTCCAGATACCAGAGAAAGTATCCCTACAATCATGTGGGCCGGACATTATGCCAGCCTCCGACCCGGGCCCCCTCAGAGAACCAGTTCTTCTTTGTGGACGTGTCCACCCTGTCCAGCCAGGGAACAAACTACCAGCTCAGGGTCAGCCGTGTTGAAAGCTTCACCCTGCAGTGAGTGACATCTGAGAGAATCACACAAACACACGGTGCCTGCATTCTCAGCTTCATGAATGTTACTTTAAGCTAGGATTTAAAGTCACAAACAGGTCTGTTACTGGTATGTCTGACATGTTTTCTTAACCTTGATTACAGGACGGACACAAAATTCAGCTTCACTGCGTCACCCTCCCAACCTCAGGTATTTCAGCTCAATACCAAAGCTTTGTGTTGTTATTAGAGATCCGATACCGACTGCATATATGCGTCCAGTATTGGTGACAATGGGGTGATCCGGTATTGGATACTATTGTTCAGAAAACCCGAGTACATTTATTAAAGGTATTTCTTTGTTATATATTGTTTTACAAAGTAAGTAATACAATGTTAAAGTCAAGCCTGATTCTGCGTCACACATACAAAAATATTCCTTTCACTTCCCAACAGTGATACATACAGCTTATTATTAAACACTGGTACTTTTTATTGGGAGAGAAGCTGAGGAAAGCACAATTAGGAATAAAGGGAATTTCACATTTTACACAATTCTTAAAGGTGGGGTAGGTAAGTTTGAGAAACCGGCTCGAGATACACTTTTTGTTATATTCCATGGAATGCTCTTAACATCCCGATAGCAATGAATATCTTAAGTGCTTTGACAAAAAATCCATAAAAAAATGTCATCTGTGGAAGCCGTAGTACTGTAAAAAGCACGACCAATCATTTTAGCCGGGCCGGCTAAAGTAACTGGATGGCCTACCTGCCTGTCAGCCTTCCATCTGTGCACAAACTTATCTCGTGCCCTCATTGGTCATGTGCACGTTTGTGTGTTGGAGGAGGGGCTCTGTAAGGAAGTGGTAGATTTTTTCCGGCTGTGTATTTTCAAATTCTAGCGCACTCAAGCTGGTTTCTCCAAAAGTATACCTACCCCACCTTTAAGCATGTTGTGACTTCAATTTGTTCATCCTTTGGATTAACACGTTCTGCTTTTACCTGAAAAGAGGAACAAACTAGTTTTTCATTATGACCTTTTGTAGCACCTCACCCTTGAATCATAACCCTTTAATCCATAAGGTCAGTAATTGGTGTACCAGTACTTCAGTTTATTTACCTATGTTCCATTACATTTTTTGTCCATCTCAACTTCTTTCAAGCATTATAAAGATAGTGAAGAAAAGCTAGGAAACATAAAAAAGGGTTTGATCGTTTCTTCATATTCATCTTTTTCCCTATTCTTTCTTTTGCCCATTCTCTCAGTACTTCAAGTATGTCTTCCCAGACGGGGTGGACACTGTGATCGTCAAGGTCAACTCGGACATGACCTTTCCCTGCTCCGTTATGTCCATCCAGGACATCCAGGTACACTCTCCCCCTCCCTACATCATCCCCTCAAACCAGACTTCTGATGTCCTCAAATGGCCCCTGCATTGTAGACAGCATGCAGTACCACCATTTGGCCACATGAGGGCAAAATGAAGTTCATGACACCTTTGTTGTTAATGGTTGATATAATATTGTTATTTTTATGCAATCCTGTTCATCTTATCTTTGAAGTCTTTGTGTTTCATATTCCATGTTTGTCTTTCTTCTTGTCTCTTTCTTATTAGTGTCCAGTCTATGACCTTGACAACAATGTGGCCTTCATTGGGATGTACCAGACTATGACCAAAAAAGGCGCCATCACAGTGCAGGTAGGGTCTGACACACAGTCGCTCACATGGTCAAAGCTTGTGTGTCAAAGCATACAGCTCTTCCATCACAACATATATCATATATTCTGTCCTTTTCTGTCATTTAGAGAAAAGATTTCCCCAGCAACAGCTTCTATGTGGTGGTAGTGGTAAAAACAGAGGACGAGGCGTGTGGCGGTCCGCTGCGATTCTACCCTCTCCGTCCTGATGAGCTCATCGACGCCGGCAACCGCAGCAAGCTCATCGATGTGGTTGTCACCCCTGCTATCAACTGTAAGTCACATGTTCACAAATATATACTGTTCAGAGGGAGGAATAATCCATATTGATTTCTTGTAAACCACAGAGCTTTTCTGAATTATTTGGAGGAAAATGAATTTGTTAAATGCCCACAGTTAAAAAGCTTCCATACGGGTTCAGGTTCACCATTAGCTTTATAATTGTGCCATTGCAGTAAAAGGTTGTTTTCGGTATATCAGCACAATATACAATGCAACTGGGGGAAAGTTATGATATTTGAAGGATGATTTTCATTAAACCCAGGTCTCCCAAAAGTAATAAACAAGCGTTCTGTTCTCTAGAAATGGAATTAATAGAGAAATAAATAATGCAAAACAACGAGTTTTGCTTTTATGCATGCTGCATGTTGTATAATGTATGTCTCCCCCAATTGTAAGCTGTAATGATGATATATAATTTCATTCTGCAGTGCAGGCGAGGTCCTGCAGTGTTAATATGCTAACAGTATGTCTCTCTCCACACAGCGGAGGTGTATGTGAGGGGCATGCTGTTCATTCTGGGCATCTTCCTCTCCTTCTATCTGCTCGTATTGCTCATGACCTGTGTGGAGAACAAGCGGTAAGATTCAGCACTTTTCTCTGACACTAAATCAACAGTTAGTTGCAAACACTTCATGTACCCAGGCTTGTTTCACTGAGTTAATTTGCATTTGTGTTAGAATAATTAAATCCTTTGCAGTGATACATAAACTTCCCATGTATCTCCCCTTCAATTGTCATTACAGCAGATAAAGCCAAAGAGAGTATTTACCTTAAGTGTTTGGTTTTCTGGATATATGTTGTTTAAAAATCGTTAAGCCCTTTGTAAAAGAACATTACTTTACAAGTTCACAATGTATACATGTTGTTATTCTGGTCCCAGTTCAACCCAGGTGAGTGGGTGTCTAAGAAAAAAGTAGATTTATACAACTGCACCACAAGAGGAGCACTCCACTGAATACAAATGATTTTAATTAGTTTTCCTCTCTTTTTCTGCAGAATGAAGAAGAGAGAGGTGTTTCAGATTCCTGCTGACATGTCGCCCGCGGAAACAGGTAACCCAGCAACTAGCTACGATGGATCGGCCCATTAGGGGCTCGTAAGAGGGTGTGCGGAGTGTACCATTATCTTAAAGTTGTGAACGTGTACTGGAGAGAAGGTGCCATATTCCATGTTAGATTACCCCTAACAGACAGTATAGTGGTACATTAACTCTTAAGCGTTTTAATGTAGAGTTAAACATTTCTGTGTAATGAATGTGTGTCTTTCGCTCTCTCTCCCTCATGCTTATGTGTGGTTCAGCCTCTCTGCTTGGGAAGAACGGAGATGGTATAACGACACTGTTACTCCTGCCTTGTACTTAATACTGTCTGTAGAGGCTCTGCCTGCATTAGCTCACATACTATAACTCTCCTGCCATATAAACAGTGTTCATTGACTAACAATAAAGAGATATGATTGACTATAGAGCTCTAGAGACTGTGTCGTAACATAAAAATGATAGTATTTCAAGTAAATGAAGCTTTTATGGCTTGCAGATACAGATACACATGACTCACTTTTATTAGATTTTCCTGTATTTGTCACACATTCTACTATTTCTCACAGCTATACTGTTTGTTTACTGAAGAGACACATCAGTATATTACATTATAGTCAACAATACGAACAACATAATGGACAAACTAAAGCCCCTGTCACACTGTCCCGAAATTGACACCCGATGGACACACGAATATGGAATTGTGAATTTCGCACGAAGATGGCCCCGAACCACACACGAAGGCAACATTTACATTACATTTAAGACATACAACTGCAATGAAAGTACCAAAAACAATTATGTTACAGTACTATGATACTGTACTGATATCTTCAGACTTTGTTCTTTACTTTATCCGTCTTTATATGTAGAAAATATTACGTTTTCTCCGTAATGTTGTTTCCATAGCAACAACAACTTCCTGTCAACTCTCCTTCAAAATAATATATTATATCCTTTTTAGTTTCACAGAACACAAATTGGGTTATTTACATAATATATTTACATGATTTTGTTGTGCAATAAAACAACCCGATGGACACACGATAAAGGAAATGTTCAAATTCGGCTGTGATCGTAACAACATCGTGAGGGCATCTTAAGCCATCGTATGACCGCCGGTGGAGTTTCTCAGGCTCCGGCAGCAACTTCGTGAGCGGTGGCAAAATATTTGGCATGGCAAAAAATTGCCGAAGGACCTTGCGAAGGTTCATTTTCGTGTTGAATTCGTGTCAATTTTGCCCTTCGTAAGGCCATCGTAAGGCCATCGTGAGGGCATCTTGTTATCATCGGTGCCATCGGGCATTCGCCCCGATCAGAGTGAGGGTGAATGCACCGATGATAACACGAAGATGACACGACTTGACAAGATGCCCTCACGAGTGCCTTACGAAGTTGCCGCTCACGAAGTTGCTGCCGGAGCCTGAGAAACTCCACCGGCGGTCATACGATGGCTTAAGATGCCCTCACGAATGGCCCGATGTTGCTACGATCACAGCCGAATTCGAACATTTCCTTTATCGTGTGTCCATCGGGTGTCAATTTCGGGACAGTGTGACAGGGGCTTTAAGGATGACATAGAAGTTGTCTCAAGTTATCAAGATCAAAAATACAGTAGTTAATTACTGAGATTAATATATTCTCCTCTGTGGTTCTTTAGCCCAACTCTACCTCTCAGTGTGTATCTGTGTCTGCTCACTGCAGTGTATGCTGACATGATTTGATTTTAAAACTGAAGGACACTTTTTTTAAACAATTCACTCTCATTGCAGCAGTCACCACTCTTTGCAACAAATTCTGCAGCATTCCCCACTCACATTGTCATCCTAATACTGTCAAATGTAGGCATTTAGAGCCTGAAATAATTAGATCCCTGCATGTGTTTTTGCATCCCTCACCTCTCTGTGTTCATGTACTAATACCTCAGTAGTGTTTTAGTGTGTAGCCTTAAGATACTAACAAGTATTGGTTGAAGTGGTGCTCTGTGTCATTGTGTGCACCTATACTTTTAAATGTGTTTTAAAATGTGTGCATGCTTATCTCCACAGGCCAAACTGCAGCCTCACCGTATGAATATGGATCCTTTGGTGAGTTTCGGAGATTTCTTTACGTCTTTGTTTAAGAGTAGCTTTTATGAATAATAATGAAAAATCCTTCTGTTTTTTTCTCCAGCTGACAACGGTAGCACTCTCAGTTCAGAGGCCATCACTGACAGCGCCACATCCACTGACAACAACTATGGATACATAGGTATGGACACACACAGACACACACATTTCCTCTGTCCCACCCCTCTCACTTTGCAGTATGTCTCCACAGCCTGGCTTGCAGTTAGCTTCTTATGAGCTTCTTCTGGTCCCTCATCTGTCTTCTGTGTGTCTTTTGTTCATCAGGACAGATGCCTTTCAAACGTCGCACAATCCTCTATCACCTTCACCACATAGCCATCCGCATCGGTGACACACTGCCGCAAAATCGTTTTAATAGTTGCACCAAACCAATCAGCACCGTTTCAATCAAACATCAATGAGACTCAAATGTCGATGTCTGGAGGTGGCAAATTCCTAATCTGATTCAAATGAAATAAACAGCAAAACCTTTTTGATACTAGGTGGATCAGAGTACCAACAATCATTGCAATGCAAATACTTTTTAAGAGGTGTGATGTGTTGAAACACCTTTTGCATCCTTAAAAAACAACAACTTTGAATCCATGTGATTCACCAGATTGTCCCACCAATGAAACGAGAGGCTTGTTTCTGTTTTTCTTCCATGAACTCCCTTTCTCTCTCCATCAGAGCGATCGCTGGACGGTGTTGGACGAAGCAGGCACGAGTCTCTGAGCTCTGTGGAGGAGGACGACTATGACACGCTGGACGATATCAACTCAGACAAAAACATCGTCCGCACCAAGGTTTGCCCAGTCTCTCCATCTCAATGCACATTGCTTGGTTTTGTCACAATGTTTAAATATCACTTCTCCTTTCCGTTGCTAATTCTACGAGGAATGACGTGTAATAATATCCCCTCCTGAATACAGAAATATCTATGTGTGTCTGACCTGTCCCGCAAAGACAAGAGGATTCTGAGCAAGAAATACCAAATCTACTTCTGGTGAGGATAGTGGTTCGAATACAATTGAATGAAGTACAATGATACATTTGTGAAGATTTCTAAATCCTCCCAATTCAGAGGAAGTCTAATAATGATCTCTTTTCCCTTCAGGAACATTGCTACTATTGCTGTTTTCTATGCACTGCCAGTCGTCCAGCTGGTCATCACCTACCAGACGGTAAGCTGATGAGACATGGACTGTGAAATAAAATATGATAAATAATAGGGATGTAACGATATATCGAATATCGCGATATCGTGGTAAATAAATGTCTCAATACCGTGAGACTTTTTTTTTCTTTTTAATAATAATTTTTTTTTTTTTATAATAATAACCTTTATTCAACCAGATGGTCCCATTGAGATCATCAATCTCTTTTTCAAGGGAGACCTGTCCAACATGGCAGCAAGTAGGTTACAACATGAACATAAAACAACAGATAACACAAAAGGACATCGTATTTACAGTGCTACATGTACATACCTAGAGACATTGACAAGTACCAACAGTATATTTATATCTCGCCCTGTCAATAAGCCTCACCTTCTTGGCATAAACTGTATTGTATTTGAAGTGGTGGAGAGACAATGCACAGTTTTACCCACTGCTGTCACCCATGGCCAAAGCATATCTCTCTGTCCCAGCAACATCAGTACCAAGCAGGAGAGTTTTTTCCACAGCAGGGGATATTGTAAACGCCCAAACATCCCAGCTTCTACCTGGAAATGTGGGCATGCTCATATTCCTAAAAGATAACCTTGGTGATGCCGAGTGAGTGAGTGAGTGAGTGAGTGAGTGAGTGAGTGAGTGAGTGAGTGAGTGAGTGAGTGAGTGAGTGAGTGAGTGAGTGAGTGAGTGAGTGAGTGAGTGAGTGAGTGAGTGAGTGAGTGAGAGTTGAGTTACTTGAAAAACTAAAGTGAAACTTGATTTATTCTATTGCAGGGTCTGATTATTATATTGTTGACACTTTAAAATACTACTATCCTACTAAAATGCTGTACAAATCAGATTTATTATTTAATAAAGAAAAAAAATTCAAGTAAACATTTTTTGTTTCGTTATTTTTCAATATCGTGATAAATATCGTACCGTGGACTTTTTATCGCGATATTATCGTACGGTGAGTTTTTGGTATCGTTACATCCCTAATAAATAAAGATAGAAGGTAAACGGATTCTCTTTCTTTCTTTAGGTGGTGAATGTAACAGGAAACCAGGACATCTGCTACTACAACTTCCTGTGTGCCCACCCTCTGGGAGCTCTGAGGTGCGTTTGGATGCCAAATGTATTATCGTATGGCTAGAAGGTTACATATCGGTGTTTAAACCCTTCTCACACACCATTTTTCATACACAGTGCGTTCAACAACATCCTCAGTAACCTCGGTTACGTGCTGCTGGGATTCCTCTTCCTCCTTATCATCCTCAAAAAAGATATCGTCCACAATCGAGCCCTGTTCCGCAACGATTTGAACGCGCTGGTGAGTAACACGGACAGAAGTTAACACACTGAGACATTTGTGTGTCACCCAGCAAAGAGGGTTTTTTAAGCTCTGTTTCCAAAGTAAATACACATTTTTTGTGATTGAAAACAGTATCTTAGCTAAATTAGCACTATTTGGTAACTTATTGCTTCAATAAATAAGAAGTAATGAAGGGAGTATACAGGCACAATGTCAAATGTTCTATTTATTGAACTTCATTGCTCAATTATAACCCAATGTTCCTTTCTCCCACCCAAAAGGAATGTGGTATCCCAAAGCACTATGGTCTGTATTACGCCATGGGAACGGCTCTGATGATGGAGGGTCTGCTCAGCGCATGCTACCACGTCTGTCCCAACTACACCAACTTCCAGTTCGGTAAGACTGCATGGGTCCTCTTTTTGACCACACACAGACCACAATCCACACAGCTTTGAGTTCTTTTTCTGAGATCACCTGCAACCATTGTTGATCCAACGGAATAACATTTGTGCAGATTGTCCTCTATATTAGTTTCAGGGGTTTACCGTTCCACGCTAAAGTCACTTTTAAGGAAAATTGCAGTTTAGTTTCCCGATGCCTTCTGTGCAAATAATCTGGGTCTTGTAATGTTTATACGACAAAAATATTTGTTGTTGACATATTTTCCTTCATTTCCTGCAGACACCTCCTTCATGTACATGATTGCTGGGCTGTGTGTGTTAAAGTTGTATCAGAAGAGACACCCAGACATCAACGCAAGTGCTTACACTGCATACGCCTGCCTGGCCGGGGTCATCTTCTTCTCTGTGCTGGGAGTGGTAAGTACACACACACACACACACACACACACACACACACACACACACACACACACACACACACACACACACACACACACACACACACACACACACACACACACACACACACACACACACACACACACACACACACACACACACACACAGACCTTTTATTAGAGATGTGTCTGTTGTTAGTGTATGTTCTTAGTGTCAGGATGGATCCCTTGTCTTTCTCTGTGCAAACAAAATCTACCTATGGGTACAAATAAATAACCTACACACACACACACACACACACACACACACACACACGCACACAATGTAGTAGACAAGGAACATTTTGTATGTGTTTGATGCTCTGTTTTCAGGTATTTGGGAAAGGAAACACGGTCTTCTGGATTGTTTTCTCTGTGATCCACATCCTGGCCACCATGCTCCTCAGCACACAGCTCTACTACATGGGCCGATGGAGGCTGGGTAAGGAACAACTGAAACTATAGACAAAACATAGTAACTAGCTCTTTTTAGCCAAAAATAACTCAAATGTGTAGCAGTACGATTTAACTGTACAGACAAAACAATATTAGCTTTTTAATTTGTTTTATGTATGCATAGGAATAATCATAAATCATTCAAAAATGTTATTTTGACTGATTAACTGTGAAGGTGCTTTGGATTTGAGCCTGACACTCTGCACTAGTGTTTGACTGCAGTTCACACTTGTCTGTATATTGTTGCGGCAGACTCTGGGATCATGCGCAGGATGTTGAACATCCTCTACACAGATTGCATCAGACAGTGCAGTGGACCCATGTACATTGTGAGTAATGACCTGAAGCAGCTGCAACAACATGTTTTAAAGGAATAATTTAGCCACGAGATAACCTTCAAACTAAATTACTCACCCATGTGTCACCTTCAATGGATTTGTGTATAAAGATTTTTGCTGTTCTTAACCAGCACCCCATTTACTTTTAAGTAACAGGCTGAGAAATTGATATACAAATGGTGATTTTGTTGGTGAAGATATTCCTTTAAACACGTATTACTCTAAGCTTACAATTTATCACAGTATTTAAAAGTTTATACAAAAAAATTGGGCATGTGGTTGGATCCTCAAATGTTGATTTTTGGATGAGATTGTGTCATTCGAATGCTTCTACATGTATTCAGTCATTTGTCTACCTCTAAATCATCTCTCCTCTGTCTGACAGGACCGTATGGTTCTGCTCGTACTGGGAAACATAATCAACTGGTCTCTGTAAGTGATATTTTTACTTAACACTAACCAGACAATTTAAATGTAAATATAGGTCACAGGATTAAATCATCTGTTTCACTTCCTCTGCAGCGCTGCTTTTGGACTCCTAGAGAGACCCAACGACTTTGCCTCCTACCTGTTGGCCATCGCCATCTGCAACCTGCTGCTCTACTTTGCCTTTTACATCATTATGAAGGTGTGTCATTGCATATTTCCATGTTTTTATAGAATAATGTTTTTTGTTGTTGTATTTCTGACGTTTTTCTGTGTATGTGTTTCAGTTGAGGAGCGGTGAGAGGATCGGGTGTCTGGCGTTGGTGTGTATTCTGTTCACAGCCGTGGTGTGGGGCTTTGCGCTGTTTTTCTTCTTCCAGGGTCTCAGCACCTGGCAGGTCAGTAACTCTCTCTCACACACACACACACACACACACACACACACACACACACACACACACACACACACACACACACAGACACAGTTACAGAGTGGAATTAGGAACACCTGGGCAGAGGCGGAGCCAGGGGCAGACCAGGTGCACCTGCGCAGCAAGGAGACAGAAAATACAACAAGGAGGGGAGCACGTAACAGTAGCTTTAAATGCAAATGAACCCACTCCCCACGCCACTCTGAGAGATATTTGGTTAAAAAGAACACAATGGTGCTCTAGGAGGAGATGCAGGTGATAAGGTGGGGGGGGGTTACCTTGGTTGGTGATTGGCTAATGGTTATACAAGCCAAAAAAATCGTTATGACATCATAAAGTGGCCGAAATCTGATCAGCTCATTTCAGACAGGTTTTTATATAAATGGATCAGGACAAAAAGTGAGCTAATCTTTTTCCCTGAAACTTTCAGAATCTCTTTACACAGAGGGGACACATGTTTATGTAGAAAATACATGACATTTTTTATTTTGCACTCTCGCGGGAATATCTCCGCAATGGAGCGAGGTTAAGTTTAACTTTCTATTGCATGATATAGCCCCGCGCAACACCTTCATCACACATGTTGCCACTTGTTTGTACCATTTGCAGGCGATTTGTAATCTGTTCTAGAAAAACTATGTTTTTTTTATATTTGTGGAGTTAGGTGGTCCGCGAGTGTATTTTATTGGTTAAGTGGTCCTTGGTATGAAAAAGTTTGAGAAACACTGGCCTACACAATGTGGCATCCGTTGACTGTGTGTGTGGTTTCCTCTCCCGACACAGAAAACTCCAGCGGAGTCTCGCGAACACAACCGGGACTGCATCCTGCTTTCATTCTTTGATGACCACGACATTTGGCACTTCCTCTCCTCCATCGCCATGTTCGGATCCTTCCTGGTACGATCATGTTCATTTTGTGTGTATGTGTGTGTCACATAGATATCTCTCTTTGTTCTGGACACTCATTAAAAGCATATGTAAATAACATATTATTTATATTAATGTATGTGGACTTGACATTTTAAATATAAAACTTGAATATGTTGTTGCAATATGGGAACTGGCAAACAGTACAATTATGGGGCCAATTCACCAAAAATGGAATAAAGTTGCCTCATTAGAAATGTTTATCTTCCCTTTCTCAGGGTTCGATCACAAAAGATGTTGCGCCCATGATTTAACAGTACAAACACGGTCATAAAGAATTTGTGAATTTCGCCTTTTTTTGAATCCCATCATTTGGAAAAGGAGGGAGAGGAAAAAAAAACAGCTGCCCAATCCTTTGTGTATACTAACCTCTCAGATATTTTTTTCCCTGCTAGGTCCTTCTGACTATGGACGACGACCTCGACACCGTCCAGAGAGACAAGATCCTCGCCTTCTAGACGTGTCAGATCGTCTGAGCTCAGCTCTTCCTCTCTGCCTTATCGCCCTCGTCTCGCTCCGTTCTCAGCTCCTTCATGTTCTTCAAAAAAAGCACAGCCAGTAGCCGGTTTTTCCCAGGCTGCACGGCGGGCATCTCTCTGCCTGCAGGCCTCAGCCAATCAGCCGGTCAGAGAGGGGGCAGTAGCTCCACCCTCCCTCCGTTTGTATGGACACTTGTATGTGCCAATAAAAAGACTGAGTCAACGTCAAGTGATGCTGAAGTGTTTTGTCCTCTCGCTGCCATCATCAATATAACTGTTGTGATCAGTGTTTACTTCCTGCTGTTGATGAAAATGTAAACACTCGCTCAAAGAAACTATCAGAATTAACTTATTTTATACTGCATTACATTTGACTCACAAGTCAGCAATGCATTTTGAATTCACTGTTTTTATGCTGTGTGCCTGTGTGTGTGTGTGTGAGAGAAAATGAGTTTTGTCTAGTCTGTCAGTGGCCTTTTGATGTTCTAATCATGTAAGTCACATACTGTGCTCTGATTGGTCAGATCCTCCAGCTACCCGTCCTTCTCATTGGAGAATATCAATATAATGATGATGATTGTATTTCCTTCATGACTGCCCTCAAGTCTGGATGCGATGTTATTTTTTACTCTGCACTGTATGATAAACAGATTAAATGTCTAATATTGCAATGAGCGGTTATTGAATAAAAGTCTCATTTTCAGGATCGTTTTCTGGCTCCTTCCTGAACGTTCAGTTAGCGACTCCTGAACCAGATGTTCTGTCATCTATAAACCTGATAGAATGGTAGAAACTCATAAAGTGATCACTGCCATTTAAGTGGTATTATAACCATTTTATTCAGCAATGTTGTCATTACTATGTTATTTGTTTATGGCAAGAATATCGAGTAATGAAAGTGCCAGCTTTGCTATTCACCAAATTGTAATGACTGTTTCAGAACATTTACTACTACTGTGTAAAACTGGAATACACTGTAATACAGGCTATAGCCTAACACAGTATCGTGCTGCTAACAAATAAAGTAACGTTAGAAGTGCAAAATAGATATTAACTTGTGTATTTATTCTTATTTATACATTCCCCATCTATTTACCTTCATTTTTGTATCATTTATTTTGTACAAACTACTGATAATTGTGTATATAACTGACTGTTTTGCACTATGGTTAGACCCTCCTTAATGTCGTTACACTGTGCTTGCATTTTGTAATGACAATAAAGTAATCTAATCTAGATATTAACTTAAGTCACTGTTTGATGAGGTTTCATTGTTTTTCTACAAACAAACTGAAGACAAAATGTAGACTAGCACTGCCTAATATAAAAAATACAATTTAAAATACATATAACAAATATGTTGTAATGTTTGAGAAGACTAAAAATCTACAATTTTAGCAGACATTTTATACTAGAATATTTTTGTTGCAAAACTGTTATCAATATTTACAGTTAATCACTATAACAGGAAGTAAGAGAAACTAGCAGACAACAGAGGTTGTCTGTGTGAACGTATGTCTGTTAGGTAATCAGGATTTGATTATAACGGAAAGAACAAACAAAAATATATATAAAAGTAGATTTATTAAAATATTTTATACAAAAATACAGCATTATCAACACATAAATACGCACAACAGATATGTTTCTATCTTACATTCATACAGAAAGTAACAAATGTAAAATAAAAGTGGATTGGCTTCTGACATACTAAAACAACCATATCTAAAATAATTAGTTAAAACATACACTTAGAAGTCACTTTCAAAGGAGTGTCATAAATACAAATGTAACCTGACATGAAATGAATATTGACCTGTGTGCAGCTAAAAGCTCTACTTTGTAGTTTTATGTCCGACAAATGGGTTCAGAACATGGAGATAAACTGGATGGTGTTTGGGATGGTCTCAGTAAAACAAGTATACATAGTTCAGTAAATGATTCCTTGTCATTGTCTGGACATTAAAGTAAACGTAACCATTTGAAAACAGTTTGGCCCAAGTCTGGCATGGAGCTGTAATCTGTAAACGTGGCGTTGGAAGTGCTTTAAGCCGTATATCATGTGGAGGATAAAGGTCCTAAGGCCTCAGTGACATATTTCTCCCTGAATTGTCCGCCGCACTCACCCCGCGTGTAAACGTCACAAAGCTGAGCTGTCAGTTACTAACGCTCCAAAGTCCTCAGGACAGTCACAGTGCAACCGCACTGACCTCTCATGTCCTCAGTAATGATACACTCTGATCTGGTTGTTATCGTCAAGGCCAAGCTGCACCAGGCTGCTCTTTGTGGAAGGAGCCCGATAGCGAGTGAACAGAGGTCTGGAAGCATCAGTTAAAGACAATGTTTGACAAGAGTGTGTATGTCAATAATGTGAAGTTGTAAAAGGTTATTAAACAAGTCCAAAATACATCATTAAACATTGATATGAAAAGAACATTTGGTTAAAAGACATGGAGATTTTAGAGACACTTAGCAACAGTCCTCTAAATTGCTCAACACACGTACCAATGGTGACCTTTAAACCAGATGGTGTGTTTGCACCAATATATATATTTTAAATAAATAAAAGGTTTGCAAGTCTGATGTGATGCAAAAAAGAGGAATTAATGCTTGATGGATGATTTGTTTCGATTTGTGCTAATAGCAAAAAGATACATAACAAATCAACTAAAAGGGTAGAAAAATAGCAAAGGAAGTAAATAATATGTAAAAAGAGATAGTTAAACAAATATAATATATTTTATTAAAACATGATTTGCTTTTTTTTCACTAAATACCAGGATGTTACTGCCTTTTGTAAGTTCCAAACTCCATTGTAAGGGATTTATAAATTGAAATGTTATAAACACACAGTATGTCAGACTATACTGTATGTCGTATTGAGATCAGGTTGTAATTTGACACTGGGATGTGCACTCTTTAATTAAACAACAATACTGATATCATGTATGTGTGTGTGAGTGTATGTGATAAAAGGATACATGCTGGTGTCTTTCTTGCGCATCTCCAGCCACCTCTTGTTTCCGTCGATCAGGCCCTGCAGCCGCTGGCCGTCCACCTCCACAGACTTCTGCACAGACCGCAGGCTCCGACCATGGTCGCTTCACACACAGACACACAGTGTTAGGACTGTTGTAGGTACATTAAAGACAGTGAGGATGTGTATATAATCTATAGCCTGATTGAAAGGCACATTGTAGCAGGTCACCTAGCAGGAGTGTATGATGAGTACGCAGAGGCTGCTCCCATGGTGGAGGCGAGTGGATCCATAGCTGCTCCTGGAGAACAGAAAAAACTATTCAGGACCAACAACTTACACATACAATAAGGCTGATTTTGCTTCAACACATTTGTCCACTCAGAAGATATCAAAGCGGTTTACACACAAGCTGAACTGAAAGTAGCTTTGTTTGGTCAATAATCACACAACATTTCAAACATGCAACCAAATAAACATTTCCATCAAACATGTGTTCAAATGAATATATTGTTTCAGTCACTCATTTCACAAAGGATATCAAAATAAAGCTATCAATTTGAACAGGTTAGTCCCTAGTTTGTGCTATATGCCTGTGTCATTTGTCGATACAAATAGCATGTGCTAAAACAGGCACATTTGTTGTATGCATAAATAGTGGAGGATTTTACGACATACAAAAACAACCACTTTTAATTCATTTTATTGTTATGGGCTGGTCTTTTCTTTCCTTTCACTATCCTGATTTGACATCTTTGATCATATAGCAAGTGTGCAAACATTATGCAAAACAGTTTCTCATGGGTGCTTTCTATCAACTATTAATATGTTTCGTTCTTTCTTTCAAAGTTGATCTTATGAGTTGTAGGTCTTTATATGAGATCAGTGAAAACTGTTTTGAAAAAGAGTGTAAAAAAGGTGTAAAACCAATGAAAATGTGTTAAATGATGTTCAAGAAAACACTTCTACCTTTCAAGAAAGTGATAATGAAGATCAAGACGACCCAAGATTTATTAAGCGTGTCTTAGAAAAAGCAAGTAAGGCTTCATGTAGCATAAAGCAGAATGAGGCGTCTGCTGGCGTACCGGGGAATATCTGGCTCCACCGGCTGTTGATGAGGTCATCGGAGGCCCTCAGCCCACTGCTGACGGGGGTGCTGAAGAAAGGCGTGGCTGTGGAGGAGCCCTGGGGGGCCCAGCTCCAGGGCGTCGATGGAGGGGGGACCGAGGAGCTGTGGCCAAGGGGGTGCATCTGGGGGAACACGGGGGCAGAGGTGGAGGGGGGAGCTGGGGATGAGTGAGATTGAGACAGAGAGAAGTGTGTATAGGGGGGGGGCGCTCTGCCTCTCTGCGAGTGAACCCAGCGCACCCAGCACGCTGTTGAGCTGGCCTGAGATCTGCTGCAGGGACTCTGCTAACTCCTGCACTTTGTCCGGGACATTAGGATGACCTCCTGATAAGAGAGTCAGGAGAGAGAGACAGAGAGAAACAGTGTACGTGAAATGATATTCTGATATATCAGTCATTACAGAGAATATGTCTTGGGAACATTTGGGAAAACTTTGTAGCGTGACTGATTCTGCTGATCGGGAAGAAGCCTGAGACCCTCCTATCAACTTAATTGTGACATTTAGCTAGAAGGAATCAGAAAATGGAAGTGACATCAAGCATCACAGAAGGGGGTCCTGTCACGGTGGGTTACCTGGTCCGTCCGGGGGGTCCAACGTGCTGCTGAGGTCAGAGTCAGTCACATCAAAGGTCACCTTCCTCTCTCCTGCCAGCCGAGACAGATCCTCAAACAGCGGCTAAACAGAGAAGGCAACGCGACAAAGTGCAGTTATTAATAAGTATTATATGCCTTGGATTTATTCTTAAAAAAGCACAAAAATACACAAAGTCTATCAAAATGCCTATTCTGTGTAGGTTTAACGTATTTAACTTATTGTGTAATTTATTTAAAGCTAACTCCGATGTGCAAAAGCTACTTTAACGAGCAGCGGAATAAATTCATGATAACACAAAAGTATTCTACTTCTATATTTTATTAATGTTTATAGATTCCTTATAAGCTGTAATTGTTAACCTCAGCGGCGACTAAACAGGTGTACAGGTTCACCTCTTGGAGTCCACTGCAGTGAAAACATACAAGCTCTAAACATCTCTTTATCTGAGTGTTGTCTCACACCTCTTCAGCCAGAGAGCCCTCCAGCTGCTGGAGCTGCTCCTCTTTCCTCCGCAGCAGAGAGTTCCCCCTCTGAACCGTCCGCTGCAGTTCCAGAACATTCCTGCTCTCCTGATAGGACAGAGAAGAGGGAGCTGCACTTAGCACTTATTCTAAATCAACTCCGTCTCACCCCTCATTACACCAAGTATTATTCAGTACCTGCTGTAGGTTTCTTATCATCTCCTCAGTCACCCCTCCTCCCTGGTTGGGGTCCTGGGAGGAGCCGTTCTGGGCCGCCCGCAGAGCTGCCTGTCTCTCCATCAGCCGGCTGCTCTCCCTATCCAGGAACTGTTTGGTTTTTTGGATGGATGCGCCATGTGAGGAGATGTAGCGTCGAACACTGGACACAAAGGGATGAAAGATGAGGTTTAATACACACTTGTACCCAGGGGCAGACTCTCGACCGGCCCACTTCGGTACTGCTAGTAAATTGTCAACGGGGGGGTGCTAGTGACTTATCCGACCGGCCCACCTTGGTACCGCTAGTAAATTCCGCTAGTAAATTGTCAACGGGGGGGGGGGGGGGTTCTAGTGACTTATCCGACCGGCCCACATCGTCCGACCAGCCCACTTCAGTACCGGCCCATCGGGATTCGTCCCGAACGTCCCGATGGCCAGTCCCCCACTGCTTGTACCCATGGACTTCCTTTTTAACTATGATTTTCTGGTCAACAGTGAATAGTCAGGATAACTTATTTTGCTGGATGATATTTTGTCCCATAAATAATTGTTTTGACAGCATTGATGTCATTTTAAGACCATCTTACGCCACTATAAAATTAATCTTGATTAATTATGCAAGTATATTCAAAGAGCAATGACATCTGAATTTCTTAAGAGTGTGATTTTTGCCCTCAATATATGTAACACTATCAAATGTAAACACACCTAAAACAATAAAATTATGAAATATGCCAATAAACTGTCAATACCCAAACACATCTGTGAATGCACCAATCACGAAGTGACTCAAAACACATGTTTAAAAAAATATTTTAACATATTGCTCGATGTTCTCTGCTTCCATTTAAACAGTTGTATTACTTCTCTATTTTATGTAATTTAACAGTTGCGTAATGTGTCTTTGAGAAGTTTGAAAGCCCTCTTTATTATATTTTACTGGTATAAGTAGGAGTTGTCATAGCATAATTATTTAATAGGTGAAGCACTATTTGTTACTGTGGCACTAAAATCACACATATTTAAAAATATCAATATTATGGTCCATCAGCAACCATGACAACATCTGTACCCCTTGAATACAAAAAAGCCAAAAATGTGTATTATCTTTGTATTCAACGTGTCCTTACTCGTCCACGCTGCTGGTGCTGTCGGGGACAGGGGAGAGGGGGGGGTCGTCCAGGTCTTCTACATGCAGCGGGGAGTCTCTCCTGTCACTGGGGGGCGCTGTGACCTCAGATCTCTCTGCCTTCTTCTTGTCCCGTTTAGCCTCTGCTCTCGGGTAGGCACTCACTCCTTCGCCTGGTTCCAGCTCACTGATTGGACAAAAATAATCTAAATCATTGCATTCTCCTCAGATAAATAACCCCATAGGTGGAAACACACAGGACGTTGGGGTTTCCTGCATCTGATTTAAAGGTCCCCTATTATACTGTTTTTCATCAGTATATTATAGGTCTCAGATATATACAAAACATGTCTCTGAAGTGTTTGGCTCCAAATACCAAACAGATTATTGCAGCATCCCATAATCCCCTCTGTTTCAGTCCTGTTTAGCTTTAGCTTTAAATGCAAATGAACCCCCTCCCCACGCCACTCGGAGAGATATTTGGTTAAAAAGAACACAGTGGTGCTCTAGGAGGAGATAAGGTGATAAGGTGGGGGGGGGGTTACCTTGGTTGGTGATTGGTTAATGGTTACACGAGCCAAAACATCGTTATGACATCATAAAGACCTTTTTTCCTGAAACTTTCAGAATCTCTTTACACAGAGGGGACACATGTAGAAAAGATGTGAGAACGTGGATTTTGCATAATAGGTGACCTTTAAACTGTACCTGGCTCTGCGAGTGAGACGGTCGCATCTCTCCTGCAGCAGCGCCACCTTGCTCTCCAGTCGCCCCTTGTCCTCCTTGCTCCTCCTGCTCTCCTCCCTGGCTCTCTCCCCCTCCTCCCTCAGCCTCTCCTCCCCCTGCTTGGCCTCACTCTTCTCCTCCCTGGCTCTCTGGAGGAGTTCTCTGGCTTTATGCCTCTCCTCTCTCATCCTCTCCAGCTCCTCCGTCAGCTGCTCTCTCTCCTGCATCAGCCGGGGTAAGGTCTGGACACACACACACACACACACACACACACACACACACACACACACACACACACACACACACCACACACACACGTGGGGAGAGATGGTTGACAGATGGTTGAGTGTTTTAATATTGTTCTTTTTATTAGGAAAAAGTTGGATGTCTTACCTCTATCTGCCTGTCCACTTCCTCTTCTTCCTCCCCAAGTTTCCTCCTCCTCCTCTTCAGATCTGCTGCCTAAAAAGAGACAGAAACCATAACACCATTAGGTTTGGGTTAGTGTATTAATGATGAACAGTACTTGCAGTATGAGGTAAAGACCTTGTTCTGCAGCATGGCCTCCTGGCTCTTCAGTTCTTTGGCTCTCAGCTCCATCTTATCTGTCAGATCCTCCAGTTCTGACTCCTAAAAGAAGAATGAACACAATTCATTTCTAGAATATAGTGTTGATGACGCTTCACTTTGCTCTACCTCAAAATACCCTAAACATGCTTTAATTCTTTACAATCTGAGACGTGAGATATGTTTTAAAATGTGCGTATCTGTCTGGTCTCACCTTGCGCGAGTGTGTCAGCTGTGTCTTCTGAATCTGTGTGTTGAGCTGCAAGCGGAGTTTCTCCAGTTGGACAGCGTGCGAGGCCTGGAGCTGCTCTCGGTCTTCCTGCAGTGAAGAAAGTAAGCGCGCCCTCTGCGCCGTCTCCTGAAACACAAACGCAACATTTTGTAATTGCAATAAAAACCACATCACTGTTGTATGTCTTTGACAAGTTGCAGTTTACACCCATGTCTGTCCAAAATGGCATCACTTCATTATTTTATAGTATTAGATAATTGTGTGAAACGGTCATAATAAGCATTTTATTTATTGTCCAAAACCGTGTTTTGTGAGGTAATAGACACCTGAGGCCTGCACTACGAATCCAGTTCAACATACCCTGGATATGTTTGAGTTACCCGGCTTAACTAACCCAAAACAAACGCACTCTCGCTAAGCGGTCCTATGACACTGGTTATCAACTCGGTAACTCAAGCCAGGGTTTCTCTGTCTGGCAGAGTGCGCGTTCACATGAAAGGGGCGGGGTTAGCAACATTTGACCAAGTGTTTGAATGCGTGCATTAACAGGTTTATGATATCACTGCCCCGTCTAAGACACACGTGGATCTGACTTTAATTACATTTGACTCGAGCGTTTCGTCAACTTAATGTGTTGCTTAAAATAATACTTCTGCATACAGTATGTGACACTGAGTGTTGCACGGCCAGATACGGCTCAGCTGACTCATATAAGGAAATATATGATACATTATGATGTGATATGATTTGATAATGGGACTGTTGTGGATATTTTAAACTCGTCAATACTGTAAAGATGTACAATGAGAGTAATCAATAATAAACTGGTGAAAGCAAACAGAGTTGTCTTGTTGGTTCTTTATTTGAAGCGCTTCAAAGGTACATGTCTCACAGAGTACAGAGTAGTCTGCACGAGTGCACACAGGGGTAAATGTGTGTGTGTGTTTTATAGAGGACTGTTGCTGTGCAGAGAAGAAAAGAGATAAGACGTTCTCCTGACTGTTATCTTACAATACTCTCATAGGGAGAGCCGCATTCTTCAGGTACGACCTTGGCAGGAAGCTACCGTGTGATACAACAGGTCGAGTTGTTTCTCAGCATAATATCATCATTTGGTTTTACCATATAAAGTAATATAAGAAATTGCCACTTTGACACATCGAAGTAGGGATGTATACCGGTATCCGGTATTACCGAAATACCGGTTACTGGTAGCTACGGTATACCGTACCGAAATCAGATCCGGTTTCGATACTTTTTATAAATTAAAAAAAAAGAAAAAAAAAGTGAGTCCGTGGCCCGTGATGGCGGGTGTTATAAATTAGATTGCATAATCGTTTTTCTTCATATTTTATGTATTTTTCATTGTTTGTTCAATACTAGAAAGGTAAAAGTCCGAGATCTCATGACCATTATTCTATTATGTATTTGTTCTCTAGTCGAATCTCAGGTTTAACATTAATTATAACGGTCTGTTTGCATTGACAAGATGTGCTATTCACGCGGCACACCTGATGGCGGGTGTTATAAAAGATATTCCATAATCGGTTTTCTTCATATCTTGTATGTATTTGTCATTGTTTGTTCAGTACTAAAAGGTCCAAGAAGTCCCACAATTGAATTTAATATTCATTTGACATGTTAACTATATCGTAAAGCGCTTCATGGGAGTAATTGTGGGATGATACATTTTCAAAGTATCACGATATGTATCGGTATCGTTCAGTGGTATCGGTATCGTAAAAAAGTCAACGATATGCATCCCTAACTCACAGTGCCGCAGACTGTAGGTAATGTTACTTTGATCCGGTTACTTATGTTGTGGCAGATATGTAAGTAAGCTTTCTTAACGCTAATGTTATAATAGTCAGATTGCTCTGAACATTTTAGGTGATATTCTATTAATGTTCACGTTCACACAGTCGGTGATTTTTGCCGGCCGTCTTTCCTGCAACGGCAGCTTTTCTGTATTTCCTTTCTCCTGTAATATGACTTGATCGCTTTAAACTCCGCACACTGAGCTCTGATTGGTCAGCAGGCAGTGCTTTCACTGAGTTGAGCTCTTATCCTGGAACCTAACCTGCGCCGTTCAGCATAAGTTACCATGGAGATCTAGCCCGGTAAGAAGTGAACCAGAGTCGCTAAGCGAAAATCCGGCTTCGTAGTACAGGCCTCTGTCCTTTGGTGGACATTTGTGCCAAATGTATAAGAAAACCCTTCAGGTATTGTTGAGATATTTGGTTTCCAAACATGGACGTACGGACAATCTGAAAATAAAACGTCTCTGGAAGCAGCTGTTCCTTGCATTGAGGCAAACAAACTTTAAAAAATGACAAATTGTGGATCTTATTTATTGTATTTTAGAGCCTGAAGATCTTTGTTGATGCTGGAAACAAAAATATGTTACACTTCTTTAAACACTCATTTCAACATATTCTACTGTTTTGACCCATGCAAGAGCAGTGAACTGTGAACCCTCTCTCACCTCATCCATGTATTTCTCTCGGATGCAGTTCATCTCTCTCCTGTGGTCCTCCCTCAGCTGCTCCAGCTTCCTCTCGTGATCACGCTGCACTTCCTCCCGCACTTCCTGGAGAACATCACCTAGCTAGAGAATGAAAGACAGAAATAGATATTTTTCTGTGTCAATGTAATGGAACAAATGTAATTCTGAGGGTGTGTGTGCCTTCCCACCTCTCTGTGGTACTCTGCCAGTTGCAGTTCAGGACGTGGACTCATGAGCTCCCTCCTCCGCTCTGTGATTTTAACCTTTATAAAGACAAAGTAGTGTAAACACAGATTCAGCCACACATGTGGATAGATCATTAATCTGCCCAATGCCACCATGTACCAAAAACACAACTTGACCAACGGCACTGTATTAACCAATAACCCGATCTCTGTTTGCACACAACAACTAAAAGTAAATAAAGTCATGTGTAATGAAGAGGGTGAGTAACTTGAAACCGTCAAAGAACTCTGAGTCATTTGTTTTTGATTCTCAATTACTTATTACATTGTTGACGATAACTACATAGCCTGTGATCGCTTTATTTTTTTGTACGCTTAATGCAGCCACAGCCCTTTTTTCTTTTTATTTACACAATGACATTTTGTATTTACTTTTTAATATTTACTTGCACTATATTTTTCTGTTTTTCTGTATTATTGTGTTGCACTGTTGGAGAAGCCTGTGACTTAAGATTTTCATCGACATAACTACTCTGTAGCTATTTTCGTATGACAAATAAAGAACCTTGAACCTTGAAGAGGTTATTTTCTTATTTGGGAGTTTTTTGTCTTTATTTTAATAAAAAAAAAAGGGGAGGGACAAGGTTGAAATGCAACAAAGGACTACTAACAAGGACTTTCCTACATGCGCCTGCACTAAAAGGTGAGCTACAGGAAGTTCTGTTTTAGAGCAGCATCTGGAGAACGCCCTTGGTTACCCAGCGAATCAAAATAAAATCTGTAGTAATGGTTTCTACCTTGCATCCAACTACTTGCCAACAGATTTTGAAGCTTGAAACTCAGGAATGTTGCATCAATTGACTACATTTCCCATCAACACTGATCGGTGGCATGTTTTCCCTTAAACAGTGACTTTATTTGAATGTAGCTTCAAACAGATGCTTGTCAACCTGTCTGTATATCTCTGTGGTTCCTGGTACTTGTGTTCAGCTTTAGCTTCACTTTGTGAGGCATCAGATATCCCTCATTAGTCATAGAGCAAAGTAGTCTCAAGGCAGGTGCAACAACAAACATTTGAATGGCTACATAATATTGAAATCAGAAAGGATCTGGCCACAAGCATTTACCTCGTGTTTCAGAGAGGTCAGTTTCTCCTCCCTCTCTCCCTGGAGTCTCCTTTTCTCCGCCTGCAGCTCCTCTTCAGACTCTTCCTGGAGACGTTCGATGTCCCGCCTCCTCTGCGCCTCCAGTCTGTCGCGCTCCACTCCTCGCTCCTCCTCCAGAGTGATGTGTAACTCCTTCAGCATGGCCGCGCTCTCCTCCCTGGGCGCAGGAAACACATCAGTGTTAAATTAAATAGATGAAATACAAACTGAAGCAGGAATTGTCAAATGGCTTCATGTCTGAGTTTAAAATAAGTAAGTCATGAGTAATTATATGACACTTGGCAGTCATCGGCTATCCTTGTTTTCAAAGTTTGATAACAAGACATTGGATTCTAAAGGATATAAAAGGCTTTATTTGTCATATGCACAAAAGTCACAGCGTTGTCTACTTAAATGATACATACAATAGTGTGATAGACATAATAGTTGAAGTAAGATAGAATGATTTCAACAGAATGTACAAATAAATACTGTACAGTAGTCTAAATAATGTGTACGGTAGGGCTGCTCGATTATGGCAAAAATCATAATCTCGATTATTTGGGTCAATAATTGTAATTGCGTTTATTAAATGCGATTATTCATTAACTTTGAAAACATCCATTTATTGGAGACAAAAAAAATTGGACAGTATGTTTTTAACAGTTGATTACCCTGAACTTTAAGTAGAATTAAACATAAAAACCAAAAAAAAAAGAAAAATATATTAAAAAAAAAAGTAATAATAATAATAAAAAAATAATCGTTTTATTTCGATTACGTTGTTTTCGTAATCGTTGCAAGCCATAATCGTAATCGCGATTAAAATACGATGAATTGAGCAGCCCTAGTGTACGGTAGTCATAAATAGGTTTGAGGATATGTGGAGTAACAGAAGACAGATGAACAGACATTCAAACAGACACTCTGTATTACAGATTAAGCCTCACTGTGGTTTCTGCACTGAAGTGTTTATGTTTCTTTCTGACCTGAGTTTGCGTTGCTGTCTCTCCCTCTCCTCCTTGGCCGACTCTCTGATCTCCTCCGGCGTCCTCTCAGACTCCTGGTTCAGCGTGGCCTCCTCCTCTCTCCTCTTGGACAGGAGGCGCTGCCGCAGAGCACTGGGGATAACAAGCATTTATGAGAAAATAAATGATTCTACAGCTTTGTTTTAGTCCCATGTTGGTCAGTTTAGGCAGCAACGTGTGATATACTCTCCATGCGTACCTTAGTCTCTTCTCACTCTCCTCCTTCAGCTTCCTCTCCTCCTCCTCCTCTTCTCTCCTCAGCTCCTCCTGAAGGAGAAGCATTCTCTTCTCCCTCTCCTCCCCCACCTCTACATCACCCTTAGTCCTCTCCTCCTTCCTCTCTTTCAGGCTCCTTTCCTCTCTCCTTCTCTCCTCCTCCTCGTCTCTCCTCAGCTCCTCCTGAAGGAGAAGCATTCTCTTCTCCTTCTCCTTCGTCACCTCTATCTCAGCCTTAGTCCTCTCCCTCTCCTCCTTCCTTTCTTTCAGGCTCCTTTCCTCTCTCCTTCTCTCCTCCTCCTCCTCTTCTCTCCTCAGCTCCTCCTGAAGGAGAAGCATTCTCTTCTCCCTCTCCTCCCCCACCTCTATGTCAGCCTTAGACCTCTCCCTCTCCTCCTTCCTCTCTTTCAGGCTCCTTTCCTCTCTCCTTCTCTCCTCCTCCTCCTCATTCTCCCTGTCTTTCTTCTCTCTGTCTCTTCTGACTCTCCAGCTTGGCTCCTCTTCCCTTGGGCTCTTTTGGATTTTGAAGAAGGCTTCATCATCGTCTAGTTGGGTGTTGGAGGTGCGGGACAGCCGGCCTCTGGAGGTTTCCGGCCTTTGTATGACCAAAGAGGTGCCGAGGCTTTCCGTTTTTGGATGTAGCCCGACGCCTTGCTCCGAAAGAGAAGAATTTGAGAGGGAGGGGCTGGACTGGTGGAGGACGAGTCGGTCCACTTTAGACGCTGAAGGGTTGTCTTTGCTAGAATCCTGCAAAATCCTGAAGAGGGAGAAAAGTGTTACTCTTATAGCAAAGCAAAGAAAAGTTGTACCATTGGCCATAAGAGTTTATATTTTCCTGAATGGCCTTGTCCCTTTTGAAGCAGTTGTTGATATACATTCATTAGTTGGGACTTGTGTGCCAAAAATGTGTGGCACAGTAATTACCATAGTGAGGCGAAGTCCCTCCCCTTCCGGTGGACCTCCATGGGACCTTATTTCGGAAAAAGTATGTATTGAAGTCAATGGAGAGAGAAAAATTATCTTTCGATCCCGTTTCAATTGTGCCACGAATTACACATATGATGTTTGTCAATTTAAAAGATAATTTTGCAAGTCAAAAAAATTAAAATGTGCCGTAAAACTGTGAAGTAACACTGTTTTTTGTGTGAAACCGCTCAATGAACTACATCTCCCGTCTCGCACCACACACCAAGACGGCCGTCGCGTTGGAACATTTCACTTCTTTCTTTCAGAATGAGGCGGAAAGTGTTGAGAGCTGTACATACACACAAGGGGAGTTAGTCGGTTCCGTAAGAGCCAGCATGCGGGACCGGGACTCTGGGATTTGTAGTCTTTCTAGATGCGTATTTTTCATAGTCTTATATTTTAACAGTTTTACGACAAACTGTGACTTTTTTGACGTGGAAATTATTTTTTAAGATTGACAAACATCATATGTGTAATTTGTGGCACAATTCAAACGGGATCGAAAGATACATTTTCTCTCTCCATTGACTTCAATACATAATTTTTCCGAAATAAGGTGGAGGGACTTCGCCTCTCTATTGAGATTTTATGGAAAATCTAAAAATGTGCAAGATTAAAAAAAAAATTCAAATCATGAACTTCCAATTCCTTGTGAAACAATATAAAATAACCTGATAAGGACAATACCCCATTACGAGATGATGCAATTAAGGCTAAGCACGGACTCTTATTTCCAGAAGTTACCAAAGAAAAACAACCAACCTCTTTGCAACCTCTGCCTTCTTTGTCTTTGTTCCTCCTTCTTTCTTCTCTTCCTCTTTTGTCTCCTCCCTCTCCAGAGAACTGACAGTGCCGGACAGGTCCAGAATCTTTTCGGAAAGCTTAAGGATTCAAAGCAGTTTGACAATTAACACTCTATCTAATGAATGAATGGTGCATAATGGGTGGTGACAGCATGACCTGAGTACCTTGACATCTATGGAGGATGAAGCCTCCTCAACGTTCTCACTGGCTTCAGACTCCTGCCATAACACACACACACACACACACACACACACACACACACACACACACACACACACACACACACACACACACACACACACACACACACACACACACACACACACACACACACACACACACACACACACACACACAAAGTTATGAATGAACAATGGCAAACTAAATTGCACAAGCAACACTAAGCATCAAAGAATGCTGAGATTTCCAAATGACAAACACGTCACAAAAAGGCAACAGCATACATGCAAACACAAGCAACAAGGCTGCGAAATCAGACGGTCCAGTGTTTGTAAGCTAAACAAGCAGACTCTGAAAATTGGGGGAGGCCAAGGAGAAACTGGTCTGGTGACAAAGCTGAAAATAAAACACCAATCTAAAAGCAAAGGAAAGTCTGTACTGCCAAATATAAAGGGTCAGCACTTTCCAATCCAGTCCTCAGGGGCTCAAATGCAGCGTCCTTTTACCAAATGTTGTTCCAGTGTGTGAGTGATGAGCCCCTAAGGCAGTGGATTCTGGGAGCTACATGCGCCTTCTTGCAGAGGTCAGGCAGGATCAGGGTTGGGGTCAGGAAGTGAAATGTGTGTGTGGTTTGGTTGGGGGAAGCACACAGAACACCGAACCCTACCTCTGCAGGAATGAGGGATCTTTTTGTCCCATTGTCCGTCTTGCCACTGAGAGTTTTTCTCTTTTGGTCAAGCGCTTTACGATCACTCAGAGCCGTTCCGGTCTCAAACACCTCCACGACTTCCTCCTCACTCTCCGATGAAGTTTGGGGCTTTTGGACCTCTGATACGTCCTCTTCCTCCCCATCTTCCTCCCCCTCTTCCTCCCCCTCTGTTTCTCCTACACTCTGTCCACATCTCTCTAGCACCTCGTCGCTCTCTGTCACGTTCCTCTGGCTCAGGGAGCATCTCTCCAAAGCTTCATCGTTCTCACCCTCCTCCTCCTCCTCCCTTTTCCCATCTATCTCCTCCTCGCTCTCCTCCTGCCCTTCTTCGATATCTACGCTTTTCTCAAGCTCATCCCCCTCTTTTTCCTCCTTTTCACTTCCAACATCTTGACCACTTTTGGAAGATTTCTCCAAATCTTCATCGCTACCGTCCTCAAATTCATATTTATCTTCTTCTTCTGCTTGCACCTCTTCCTTCGCCTCTTCTTTCTCTTTATTTAAACCCTCCCCTTCAGCACAACAGTCCTTATCACTGACCCTTTCCTCTCTTTCATTGCTCTCCTGCTGTTTACTGTGTTCAATGTTTTCGGACTCTTCATCACCGCCTTCGCAGCATTCCACTTCTATCTCGTCGCTCTCTTCCTCATCCAATTCTTTCTTGCTTTCTATAGACCTTTTACTTCCTCCCTGCTCATCCTGCATCTCATCCACCTCTTCTTTGACTTTTTCCTCATCCCTATCTTCCTTATCTCCTCTCTCCTCCGTCCCTCCCTCCTCTGCTTCCCCTCCTGCTTCATCCTCTCCCTTTTCTACCTGAACATCCTCCTTCTCCTCCTCCTCCTCCTCCACCACCTCAGTTAACTCTTTTTCTATTTCCTGTTCAGCAGAGGGTTCAGGACGGGCCACCTCCTCACTGACGTGGTTTCTGCTGCCCCTCAGTGAGGACAGGTGGAGGTGGCGGCCCCTCAGAGACTCCTTGATGGAGGGGAAGAGGAAGAACAGTCCGTCCGTCCCAGACAGAGGCACAAAGGAAGGCGTGCAGAGACACAAGGGAGAGAAAGGGTGGAGGAGGGCACGTAAGGGAAGGAGGCAGACAAAAAAAATGGTAACCCCAAATTGAAAGACTGTAGGGGGGGGGAGGATGGTCTTATTATTATTGCATGCAAACTGACGGATCGGCAAAATGAGCCTTGTTAGACAACCAACAAATGGATTATTAAAAAAGACAGGTGCACAAATAAACCCATGCAGGTAGACACAGAAAACCATACACATGTTGTTGTTCTGGGTCTCTATAATGCTCAAACACACACACACACACACACACACACACACACACACACACACACACACACACACACACACACACACACACACACACACACACACACACCACACACACCTACACACAGGAGCAGGTTTGTCTGATATATGTGATTCCCTTATTTGAGCTTTTCAGAAAGTCATAATGTGCTGATGAAATCACAAAAACATCTACTTTAGTTTGGCTTAATCATCTGGAGGTTGAGTCATTTTTAGAAAATAAATAAATGCAATACTACCTATTATTATACGTGATATATAGACTGTGCAATATCTATGGACTAGGGCAGACTTTACTTGACATCTTATGGCAGTAGTGGGGAGTTTTACTGCTTATACACAAACCTAAGGGAAATTATAGTATTCATAGTGTTGTTGGCGATAACTCCTGACTAAGTTTCAGACAGCAAACCAGTAACAGTGACAGTAGGAGGACAGCAGGACAAAGAGGAAGACACAGTGACAGCCGTGGCCGTAGGACAGATCCCAGCAGCACAGCTACAGGAACACACCGGGTCACAGCCCAGAGGTGAGAGGTTTAAAGGTCAAAGAGGTCACACGAGACAAAGAGAAGCAATAACAGATGCTTTAGAATCACAATTACATGAGACAATGAAAATGTCCACTATGGAAGTAACTAACACAGAGAAGGTGTGAAAACAATAGGCGCTTTCACACCGGAGTACTTTTCCCCGTACTTTTCCCGTTTAGTTCCGATAGTTCCTGGGATTTTGCGTTCACACCAAAAAGAGAACTTAGTTCATGAGAACGTTTCCTCCCTGTTCAATGCCTGCTAGAGAGGTGGTACTTTCCTGGAAAGAAGAAAGTTCCAATTTCTGATTGGCTGGGCGAATTGCAAACCATGCCCGTAAAACTCGAAAACGTTTTGTGGAAGCCACCATTTTATTTGCTGGCATTAGCATATTAGCATTAGCCCAGCGCACTAACGGAGAGACGGCTAACTTAGAGCAACACAAAAAAAACATGGGAGCGTGGAGTGAAGAGGAGGTGTCGGCTTTCTGGCGATTTACTCGGAAGGCTTCAGTAGAAGCTGCTGGGAGTCCCAGCAGCTTCTACTGAAGCCAGTCCCCAACTCCGGGGACTTCCGGACGGGGACTTCGGGTGGCAGTATACGCCGTGAAGTGGTTTGCAAATCAGTGCCAGTAAACCCAAAGCAGAAGAAGAAGAAGAAGAAGAAGAAGAAGAAGAAGAAGAAGAAGAAGAAGAAGAAGAAGAAGTGACGTCAGCGGCTTCATTTGCGTAATCTTCCCTCAGGGACTTATTCCGGTGTGAACGCGATCTGCTCTTTAGTTCCATGGGGGAAGTGCTGGGAGCTAAGTACAGCAAAGTACTTGGTGTGAAAGCGGCTAATGAGAACTAGCATCTACATCCTGCATTATAAACGTCTTATAGTACCGTGATCAATGGATGCATTTTTACTGGAACTGCATGTTTTGGAATTAATGGGGATTATTTTTGAGCGTGATATGATTTGCAATATTAGAGGGATATTTTTTAAGATTTATTCATATTATCAATGAAAAGTGTATTAAAAAGTTCATGGTTGGATCTGTAAAAAACAAGGATCATTTATTAAGCCTCTTGAATACCAGGACTTCTCAGCAGCACAAAAATACTTATTACATATTATATTTGATAAAATATAAAATACTAGTTAGACTCCTTTCTCATTGCAAGAAGACAAGTATGTCGTTCTTTTTTTCCACCTGAGACTACTGCAGAGTCATTTGTCCCAGGATTGAGTTGTGGGTTAGTGGGTTTTGTTTCCGGTGGGAAAGTGGGTTGTGTGTGTATGCTTTATTTTTTAGTACCTGTTGGGATGGTGGTTCAGGACTGTGGTCTCCTGATAGAGCCAAGTCCTGCAACTCTGGCTCTGTCCTCTCCTCAGCTGGAGCTCCGCCACTGGCTTCACTGTCCTAGAGCACACACACACACACACACACACACACACACACACACACACACACACACACACACACACACACACACACACACACACACACACACACACACACACACACACACACACACACACACACACACACACCACACACACACACACACACACACACACACACACACACACACACACTTTAACTTTACAGAGGAAGTGATAAACCATTATACAAGAAAAAACAGATTCATACCAAAAAAACACTCCTTTTCGACATGGAATCAAGCTAAATTAAATGTTCTTGATGGAAGAGAAAAGGCACCTGATTGCCAACAGTGTCATTTCTTTAGAAGGAAATAATCAGACAGAATATATCAACGGCTGTTTTCATTTTTGTTATTCCATTATGTTAAGGAAAAGAAATAGAGTAGAATCAGTGCTGTACAAAGCAAATCAATGTGTGTACCTCATACTGAAGGCCTCCTCCGAGTGCATCCAGGTCCAGGTGAAGGTTCTTCAATAACCGGTCTGAACCACGAGGACTTGGCTGAAAAAGATCACAATGTGTTTAAAAAGGGAAATAGAGCATACATAAAACAGCCAGTACCTGCTTGGTCTTGGATTGGAGAGGTGAGAATCAGAATGGTGACCTTTGACTTACTTTACAGGAGACAGAAATCTGAAATGTAGAATACCTTGTCTTTACTTTCTTTATTAACTCCCATCTTTAAAAGTAAAACATCATAATCATTTGGATCACAAGAAGCTCAAGGTATGATATTTTTTCTTCTAAAGTGCACTTTTGCACCCTAATAGTTCTATTTGTTCAGAGCCTTTGGTTTTGCTATAGTAAATGAATAACTATGGATTGGTAAAGAATTGAAAAGTGTCCTTTGGCATCAGAATAGGCTCATCAAGAGCTTTCTTCATTTATATATAACACAAATTCTCCCACAAAATGTCACTGACACCCTCTGGTTTTAACCCTTAAACTTGTCTTAAGGTTGTACTGCACCTCGTTTTCTGAGATTTTCCCATCCTCATTGTCATCATCATCTTCATCATCATCAAAGCCAGGCAGAGTGAGCGACACTCGCTCCTCCTTCCTGTTGCCCAAAACACTTGAGGCTCCACTGCCCTGAAGGCTCTGACAGAGAAAGACAAAGAGTTTACAGTCAAGTGTAATGGTTTGGGAGTAGGCATTATGTATGTAAATAACATTATCAACATTTCATTTTAGGGTTCTTTTATCATTGTCTTGTGAGCAATTCATGATATTATCTCCATCATATGCCATACCATTATATATTATACATTATATTATTATTGCATCACAGAAAGGTCACGCATCCTTTCAAGGGAAAAATCGATATCAATCTTAAATAATGCTATTATAAAGAATAAGGCTTTCTTGCATTAAGGCCCAATAAATAATCGTGTGAGACTATTCCGTCTTACATGATGAATTCTCATTTTTTATTATTAAAAAGCTGAATAATACAGTCCGTTTATAGACCTGGGATCTTACCCCAAGCGATGTCTTTAGCGGCTCCAGTCCCCCGGAGCTCCCGAGGGTGCGCCGGAGAGCGGGAGCAGAGCCAGACAGGGGGGCCGGGCCGGGGGCGTCTAGACCTCTGAGAGGAGCCAGGCTGCCCAGAGGGGACGGTAGGCGTCCCAGAGAGGAACTCAGCGCCTGTGGGACAAAAAGACACCGTAAGAGAACTGAGCAACCTGACCTAACATTTTCAATCACTAAAGACACAGATACTGAATTCCATTTAGATTGGGCATTTTAAAAACAGCTTTTCATGGTTCTATGTTAATGATGATGTTTTACACAGTGTACACAAACGCATCATTACAGAGAATTTAGCAATCAAGTCAAACAGAAAATGTTGATGGTCATCTTTTTGCTTATTTACTCATTTAAATAGCTTACGAGGTGTGAGGGTGAGGTCTCTAAGCAACAAAACATTCATATGGTGGATTAAAGGACAAAACAACAACAACAAAATGAAATCTGTGGGAAAATATCACTCGCTCCAGGAGTCTTGAGCGGCTCCTTCTTTTTTTTCTCTTTCTTCTCCTTCTTTTCTTTCTTCTTCTTCTTGTCCTTCTTCGCGCCTCCACCTCCTGTGGCGGTCGTAAGCTGGGCGCGCTCGCGCTCCTGGGCCACCAAGCGGCGGTAGTGCTCGTCGCAGGGGTGGTCCCACGTGGACTGTCCCGAGGAGAAGTTGAAATAGTAGATGTCCCCCGTCACGTCCTGGCTGTGGGAGAGGAGGGGAGAGAATCGAGGGGGTCACTAAGGCAGGAGAGAAATAAGAAATACTGGGTAGATGGGTATGGATAGATCCCTGAAACTAAACGCTGCACCATTTAATCAAACTCTATCTGACAGATTTGTCGGGCCATAAAGAATAAAAGCTGATTTCTTTTTTAATGACTGACACGCAAACTAATCATGTTGGTTGACTCAATAGTTAGTAGTTTACAAACATCAAATGATATCATCATCAGCCTCTCAGTTGAGGGGAGAAAGGGTTGGACAGGTATTTGATTTGCTCGAGCGATAGGGCCAATATATAATATTAAACAGAAAAATATATGATGTTTGCTGGTCCATCAATCCAATACAAACCCTTTAACCTATATCTTAAACTGGTTTAATCTAGGACCTACTTGATATGGATGTGTAGTGGAGTGAGTCCAATGTTAGGCATTTAACTGCAGCTAACTAATGATGGAGCAAAAGATAGTTACTTAGCATTTCCCCCTTCAGGTTTCAAAAACACTTTCAAAGAATCAGTGGTCAAGGAGACAAACTTGATATTGGCCAAACACACTACAACCAATCAAACTCGCTGATGGGAATGCTTGTATCTTAGGATCACCAAGACTGTTCACAACAACTTTCCGGCAGTGGCTCAGTCAGTAGGGGCTTGGACTGTGAGCCGTAGGGTCGCCGGTTCAAGTCCCCAAATCGACCTAAATATGGAGTGTGGACTGCTACTTGGAGAGGTCCCATTTCACCTCAAGCGCCCTGCCGTGGAGCCCTTGAGCAAGGCACCGGACACCCACCCCACTCCCATTGCTCCCCGGGCGCTGTACAATAGCTGCCCACTAGACTCCTGGTACTAGGATGGGTTAAATGCAGAGAACACATGTTCTGTGTGCTGTGTGCTCTGCAAGTGTGACCATTAAAGAGGGTTTCATCCCTCCAATTCTATCTATCTAACTCTAATTTAGATTAATAATGACTCCACACCAGATACGATGTCTGAATATGGTTGTTTTAGAAATGTAATGTAATAATGTTTTCTGTGGGTGGACATGCTGCTCTGGCCCCACTATCCAGTATCTCTCCCCTCTCACCAAGGCTTCCACTCGGGGGGGAGAGGGGCGACAATGCCTTCCCTGGCCAGCCACAGGAGCTCCGACTCCCTTTCAGGATCAATGCCAATCTCTCTTGCGTACTCATGGATCTCTGATGAGAGTGAGGATAAAGAGTGATATGAGACAAAATGAATGTAAAAGTAGTATATTATAGAGCATCTAGTAGGTTTAACAGCTCATTAAAGCAAGGTCAGCCCAAAACATGCTAAAATAGAATGATATAAGAGTATAAAGGACTTTATGCCTGATTACAACCTGAACTCAATCGAGACTGAAGACTAAGCAGATGTTTTCTGTTAAGAGATATAACTCTCTTTAACCTCTTTCGTATGCCCTAGAAAAAAAGTTACTAGAAAGGCATTATCTTAACTTTTATTTTATACGTGAAACTAGGGCTGGTCGATTATGGCAAAAATCATAATCTCGATTATTTGGGTCAATAATTGATATCACGATTATTAAAAACGATTATCCATTTACTTTGAAAACATCAATTTATTGAAATAAAAAATGTGAACAGTATATTTGTAACAGTTGATTACCCTGAATTTTAAGTATAATTCAACTGAAAAACCAATAAAAAAAATAATTTTAAATAAATAAAATAAAATAAATAATCGTTTTTATTATGTTGTTTTCATAATCGTTGCAAGGCAAAATCGTAATTGCGATTAAAATACGATTAATTGAGCAGCCTTATGTGAAACTATTGAATATTGTTGTTTTTTACTTGTTCTCATTCAAAGTCCCTCCACAATGTTGTGTAACTTTTATGATTGCTTGTCTATTATTTGTATTTTTATCTTGTAATGCACTTTGTAACTATTCATTTTTTTACGAGGGGATGAAACTCAAAATGTAGATATTGAATAAATAAGTAGTGTGAAAAAAGTAGCAATAGACAACATGTTTTTCATTTTGTTGCAGGCAGGAAGTGTCTCTTTAATCAATAATCAACATCAATAATCAGTGTAAAACATTCCTGGGTACTTGTTGTTTGGTATATGATCTTCGCCCTTTTCCTGTTTTATTGTAGCACAGTATCTGTGGTAAAGCTAATCTAGACACAGTGAGTCAATCATTATGACATCTTAAAGGACATGCATCCCCGATATATTACCCTCACCACTGTGTACCTTGTTCAGAAGGTGTATAATTATCATCATAGTCCTCTTCAAGGATCAGCTGGTCTCCGATGAGAGCAGCTGCAGTCATGGCTACTGCAGAGAAATACACAACAGGGTGATGGTACAGGAAAAGGGAGATATACTGTACATAATACTGTTGCTATAAAGGCTCAGATCATCATTGTGCTGTTCAAAAGACGCCCTGCGACAATATTCTGTCTTTCTATTATGCTTTGCTATCAAGATTAGCACATTCATTCATTTATGATCAGAATCAGAATTCCTTTATTCGTCCCACATAGTGGAAATGTATGTTGGTACAGCAAAGTATATATATAGAGACGAAGAAAAAACAACACTATTCTATAAAAACAAAGGCATGCACATAGTATTTAAAATAGAAAAATATACAATTTACAAAAGGACACATTCAAGTGGACAGTAACTAGCAGCAGTATTTATAAAATAAAATAAGTTTAGCACTGTAAAATGAAGTGTGGTGTATACAATTTGTAAAATGATTATTGACTATAGTTCCGTAAGATTCATGTTGCAGTAATGGATGGACTAACTAGAAGTAGCATTAATAATAATATTAGCAATGAATCTAGCATGCTATATGGTTCTACAAAGAAAGGCAAGGGATTAGTATTAAGTCCTAAGCCTGAGATAAACAATAGTCAGACACATTCGCATCTCTATAAACAAAACAATATCGACGTGAAATAATTTTAAGGACAGTAATGCGGGGGAAATTCGATAAGCTAATTAAGCATCTCAGCTAACTTCAACTAGCTAACGTTAGCTCATCCAGCTAAGTAATTAGATAAAAGCTTTTTCATCAAAGGTGATTTACCTTCCAAACTTTTAATCGGTTTCTTGTGAGCCTCTGTGGCAATAGCGATTTGTTTTCAGTTGTTTAACGAAGACATTGTGAACGCATAGGGGCAAAATATGCTAAAGTTACAGCACTAACAACAACATCTCCAAGGACGCTTCCCCCGCTTCCTGTTGACGATGGAGGCGCGTCTCTGACTGGCTGAGCCACATGAGGCGTTCAAGTGCCCTCGTAAATTCATTGTTGGTCAACATAGTGACCGTTTCAAGCTTTCTTAACTTTTTGGATAAGCAATTAAATGTGTTCAGAATCAGAATACCTTTATTATTCCCACAGAGGGGAAATGTACGTTGTTACAGTAGAAAAAGAGCCAAAGACAGCTTAGTGTTATATATTTTACATTATGTTACATGCATAAAAAAGTACTAAGTAAAACAAAAATAGAATAAAATAAAAAGTTACACAATTTACAAAATACACATCCTGTAACAGTTATTGGGATTTAGCAGCCAGGCATATATTGCACAGTTAATAACGGCATATATATATATATATATTGCACAAATAGCACAGAAGTGACTTTAATTAAACTTGACTTGAGGGAAAAGACAACATGACTGTTAACATAACTTTCCAATATGAGTGAATACAAAATTCAGATGTAACATTTAGTCAAGTAATTAGTACATGAATACATGATTGAACACATGGTGCACATTGTTTATCTCCATTGTATTTTTTTTACCAGTTTACAATTAGCCTATGTATGCGATTGCGCATACTATTTTGCATTGCAGCTGAAAGCATCAATTGCTGTACAATGTTATATCAATACAGTCACTACATTTCAACTTTATTTGTCTTTCAGCTTTTCTCAAAGGTTTTTAAGTTTTCTTAGCGTCATGGCTACTGTATTTATCCTCCTATAACTGTTTTTTTTTCTTTCTTGTGGTTTAGGACTGAAGAAGCACCTTCATGCTGAGCAGTACTGTCATCTTGTTATTTGGATAGGGGAAGTATGTTTTAGTCATCTTTGCCTTAAATAAGCATGTATGACTTGTTATTGAAATATCTTCAAATAGTTTTGAATGCAGCAGCTCGTTTTGTTGTCATGTCTCCCTCAGGAGGCACATTGAAGTAAAGATGAAGCATTTACTGTTTTAGTTAGCACTACAGTGTCTTCATTGTGACTTGAAATTCAAATATCCTTTTAAAATGTGTGTAAAACAGCTTAGTGGGAGTGAGATTATTTTTACAAAGCGAAAAGGTGATCTGTTTTGCATGTGTCTTTACTTGGAAGGATCCCTGTGGTGTGGCAAAAGGGCACTTTCTGTCCTAAAGCCCCTCATTCACAGCTGGGGGCTGCATTAACACTGTGTTGCTAAAGAATGCCTTTGTCCCATCCCGGAGCCAGGGGTGATATCAGATTGTCGTCACATATTCTCATGCAATCTATTGTTGTCTGCTCACCTACATTTAGTAAATAATAATTAAAAAAATAGTCTGACCGTCCTAGTCTCTTTACCCAGAAAGAGAGCAGGCGAGGGGAGGACAGATGCAACATGAATGATTCTAGTGACAAGTATGTCTCTAGTCAACCTCTCTGACATAGAAGCTGGGGTGTTTCACTATTTGGTAAATACAAGTCATTCTCAGGGCTAATGTAGTGCCAATTATACAGTAAGTTGTTTCAACTTTTTCAACAAATTATTTTTGTATTGTTATATATACCCCTCTAAGTTATAAGAAATATTGCAAACATTGTTGCAAAATATAATTATTGCTAAATGTATTGTTGTGGAACACCACCTTTTAAAAAGCAGCTTGTGTTTATGTTTTTTTTTATACATGAAGTGATTGGCAGGATTTTATTTTATTTGAGTATATTTTCAATTATCCTCATGCCAAACATTTATATTATCTCCCCTCTACCATATTGGGTTCTTTTAGACATGCTTCCTTCTGGTAAAAAGTATTACAAAATAAAAAATAACGAATAAAAACAGATACAAATAATGATTAATAGGTACGAAATAGTGATCCAGAATCCTTGACATGCACGGGTTCAGAAAAGTGAAATCACTTCAACTCCTATATTTGTCTTGAGTGGGCGTTCTGGTTCTGGTAAACGGGTGAATGGCCTCTACATCTTGGGCAATGGTAGCTCTCCCATTACAAACAGGCCTTGAAACTCAGATGTTCAACACCTACGCACCACACAATATATTACACAGTCCTAATGTGAGATTGCAGTGTGCATTTTTCGCACTTCAAACATGTATCATGACCTAAAGTGTTTGTTTTAGTAGGCATGAAGTTAACATTTATTTATCCAAAGCGACTTACATACATTCAATACTGTGGACAATCCCCACAGAAGCAATTTGGGGTAAAGTGTCTTGCCCAGGGACACAACAACATGCTGACTGCAGTGGGACTCGAACTTGCTATCCCCTGATTCGATCACACTATCCACTGAGCCACAGCCTCCAATTATATTAAGAGTGGATAATATAGTTATAAATTGAGAAAAGCAATGAAACCAAGTAATTGTGTTCAAATTATTTCCCTACTAATTAATGGGTTCCATTTGTTTTTCAAAAGTATAAAACAATTTATGTAATAGTCCTAAAACCTTTAAAATACTCAAATTAGTGCCTTTAGGATTTTAATTGTTAAAAAATGCATTAAACAGTTAAGTCTACTTAAAAAATACATATGAAGATTAAGGTGCCTTACGATAGCAATTTGTTTCTAGTGAAATATAAATCTGTACTATCTAGTATTAATTATAAGTATCTGTATCTCTACAGAATAATACATTTAGCGGGGAAAAGGGCCTTTTCTGGCAGTTTCCTTTTTGAAGGAACATAATGCAGAATGTTTTTCAACCTGTAGTAATCATTCCACTTTGAAATAATGTGTTGATCATTTAAAGACTCTGCACCGAAAACAGATTATTGTTGGATTTGCTGTTGTAAGAGCTTTCAGAGGTGTGTCACATGTTCCTATCACGTCAGCAGGGCCTAACCT